AACGTGAAAAGATACGTGCAGCGGTTTATAACAACTTTAAACGAATTTAGTGTTTTTATCGATAATAATTATTAATTGTTGTGATGAAATACAGTTTGTTTGCCATTTTCATTTCTCTAGCAAGTGACGACAATAACACTATTGAATGATTTTGGCAATGGGAGAAACATTGAATTGTAACAAAGAAGAATTAGGTTGTGCAAAATGGAGAATACCTGTGATATAATATGGGCGTAACGTGGAATGTCGAGCAAAACCGAAGCGCATGATGATCGACCGTGCGTTTGAAGACGACGTATTACCTGTGCGGCCACGCAACTTTTACAATAATGTGCGGTGCTCCGAAAGCGCTCTCGTGTACATTATTGTAAGAAAACAGTTATAATATCGGTAACAATTAAACATTTGTTCGCGCTCGACTATCGGAAATGTTAATTTTGTAAAGTGGAAGCAACATGTGTTGAAATATTGACGAAATTATTTGGCACAACAGGCATAACAGTCTCACTGACATTCACCATTATTTTATTTATACCTGTTACTGAATAAAGGTTATGTTAGATTTACATGAACAAAATTCCCATTATCTAATCCTCTTTGTTTATTATTATTTTATAGCAAAATGGCTTTATGAGTAGAAAATGTTCATGTTTTGTGATAGGTGTGCCGCGAATATTTAAAGTGCTCAATAGTGTGCCGCGATATATAAAAAAAAGGTTGGGAACTACTGCTGTAGCGTCAATAAACCTAAACCACGCACTCCGAACGATATATTCAAAAGTAAAAAAAAATATTCTACGTTAAGCGAGAAATTATCAACATCGAAATCACAAGCTAACTAGGTCAAGTCTAAAGTGGAGTAAATAAAAATGTCAAATATTATTATGTTTCTTGTAACTGCACGATTTGTTGCCAGCACCACCCAATTTATTGCCTAATCTGACAGCCAGCGCCCGCCCCTACAGTTACCAAACCTTGATACAGATCGTTTGATTTCCCCCGCCACGTCAGATTTCATCACTGCACCTCAGGACTCTAACCAGTCTGTAGAATTTCTGGCAGATAGATAATGTGCGTTGAAATTGCGCGTTTTAAAGCACCGATTCAATTTAGGGCTGACAAAAGGCCAACAAACCCATGAGTGCCCTACAATTCGTAATATGCGGGTTTTCTTCCTCAAACAGAAAGTAATCGCCGCTGGCCATATTTTTTTCGCATAAAAACCCGATTTATTAGCAGCGCTTGCAGCAGCCAGCTACAATGCCTCGTTGATGGGTGTCGTCGTCGATATTTGTTTTAATATACCTCCAGAATATTTATACAGCCCCGAGTTTAAATGATTATTGGCCTTTTTACCTAACTTATCGGAATTCGACTTGCTTATTGGTCTTGCAAACCATCCACCGCCAGCTTGCCAAGAAGAACAAGAAGCATTTTTTTTTATAAAAGATCCTTGCATATTCTGCACCAGTAACCTTCTTTTGTGATTCCAATAAAAGTATATTTGCTTGCTGTAGTACATCGCAATTTGTCACTTCGCTCCGCTTCTACACTTTTTACTCCGCTTCTACACTTCTACACTCCGCTTTTTTATTGATAGAAAATGTCCAAATATATTTATATCGCTAGATTGAGATATATTGGATAGTCTGGGTAAAATGGAGACATTGATAACGATTGTCGTACTAGTTCTTTTCTAGATAATGGTGGCGATTTTGCAATAAGAGACTCAATTGTGCACAGATTTAATTGATTCTTCTAATGGTTACCCGCACTAGCACGCAGTTCAAAATCGATGCATGGACGACAGCATATCAAAAAATATACACTTTCGGTGTTTGCTTTATATACTCTCCGAACATCGTCCATGTAATTGTTTTCAGATACTGATCTTTACTGTGGTACATATATATGTGTTAAACTAGGCTCATATGAAACTATTGGATATACGCGCCAATATACGAATTCTCTTCTTAGTTGCCTCGCAGATTTTCTCATCATTCCATAAACATTTGTTCGCAATTAGAGCAGGGCATTTTTTAAATACCTAGTAGTTTCAGAATTGAGTCGAATATTTTTCAAATCAAATCTCGGATTTTGATATATTGGTAATTGAATGCGACTTTTTTATTGAATTACCGAAAACATACACTCCATCATTCAGACATTTGGCTTTGTAAGAACAGAATAAGAAACATGTTTCATCAATGAATCACTCGCAATGACCGACCTAGTTTTTTAGTGAACAAAAAAAGATGGCGACGATTCCGAATTTTCGTCTGACCGATTCCAAAAATTTACTATTCGATTTAAAATACCCAACCCTATTCCAATTTCACAAAGATAAAAATCAAGTGCATAGCAAGATTTATTATCGCCATAATATATATTTTTATTTTTTCAACTCACAATTTGCTTTCAAGCATAAACTCCAAAAGTTTTATGCAATTCCACCCACCCCTTGTCAAACTTTCAAACTAAAACATAAGTCCGACTTGCCGTTTTGAATACAACTTGGAGTGTTCTGCAAGATGAGACATTAAATTGTCATCAAAACAGCTTCAAAATAGCGGATTGGGAAAGGGCCATTTCTAAAGTTGCGTGTAACATATATCCAGGGGGGTGTCTAGGTGGGGGCAAAATGCGGAAAGTGACGTAACAATGCTCTCTTTTCGCATCCGCTCAGACACTTTTCTCACTCAGACAGATTTTCAAGCGTGGTCGTAAATATTACCTCGTTTTCGGATTTTTAAACTCTATTCGTTCCCCAAAATTATTACTGATGAATATTGCCGTCCCATAATTACATGATGTTCTTTTTCAACAACATTTACACATAAGGCAATTACTCAATTACCAAAGCAATGTAAAGCAAACTATTCCATCAGTGTTTCAGAACAATAACTACCAACCACGGCCTTATTTTTTATTTTCATCAATAATTAATTTCTCGTACGAAATTTTGTATTCAAACATGCTCAATTTCCTATCTGTATTAAATTTTTTTGACTTAGGCTACTCGTTTCTAAACTTGCCAAGACAATCTTGACCTATGGAGGTTCACAAAATGCGCGTGCTACATGTTGTTGTCAACGAACGCGCAGTTCGACAGGTTAGTGGGTAAGTGGGCCAACCAATCACAACAAATGTATTTGTTGTTGAGGAACAACAAAACTAACGAAAAGCTTAACTGAATTTGCTTGCTTTCGACCGTCAAAAAAGCAGGAAATCACTGCTCTACGAAGTGTGGGACTAGTCGACTAGGCTCACTGACTAGATGCGAATTCCAGCTTCTCCACAGACCGGCCAAAAGTATGGATATTACAAAAAAAATTTAAAAACAGTAAACGTCCGAATTTACCCACTGAAAATTGCAAAATTATCTCTATGTTGGTAATTACAGATTCATTATTTAATGCAGGGGTGCACAACCTTTTTTTTCTGCAGACGGCCACATTACGTTTTTATAAAGGGTCACGGCCGCCAGTGAAATCGAGGTCTTTTATAAGTCATATTTATTTCATAAATTGGCTTTTTATTGATATATCTCATTGGCGTGCGTCTAAAACGTTTATGGAATGGTTAAATTTAAACAAATATACTGAATAAAAGTGCCCAGGGTGACAAAATATTTTTACCGAATCGAAAATTTTCATTGAATACGAGATATTCGGATAGTTTAATCTACAGTCTGAAGAGAAGCCGGAGCACCGGTCGACACTTACTTCAATTACTGTTGTTATTGGCGCAGCGTGGGGGCCAGCCCAAATCTCCGCTTCTTTTTCAACATTTTCGGGAGATCTAAAAAGTTGCTAATAACGATGGTGTTTTCTCAGGGATAATGTTATTCAAGTCACCGATTGTTTAGGTCAGCTTGGCGCGGTTACTTAGGCCGTCAACATCGATATATATTATGTCGGTAAATTATCTCAAAATATAATTATCTCGTTATTATGCGATCATTGGCAAGGAGACGCTTAATATATTTAAAATGGTGAATCTGCAACTGAAAATAAGGGAGATTCAAAACTAAATGTAATTGGACAAATTTCACACGTATACCAATGTCTACTGATTGCCCTGCTATTTTCCAGTAAAAAATAATGCTTTTATTTTAAGCTAGGTCGATGAAATCGGAAGTTATGTCGAACACAATTGAATTTATATAGCAAGATATTTTAAATGCTCTCATTAATCGTGGATTAAATATTTTGCTTAAAGTTAAAAATCATTAACCGCCGGAAATTCTGGCTCTTTCAACGAGTAAGGATATCATGTTTCAGGAGCTGCCATATGAAAAGTTTGATTTCGATTCTGACTGGCTGAGCTTCTGGCATTTGTAATGATAAGAAAAAGTAAGAAATTTGACTGACATGGAGCGATGTTTACAGCTGTTACTTTTTATATTCTCGAGTCTAGTTTATTTTCCATTAAATACGTGAAAGTCAAGCGCCAACATACCGGTAGTACACAAACATACGCTATTTTACAGTAAAACACAAACACCAGCACGACCGCACATTTCACTTCGAAGGCTGCAGGTTGTGCACCCCTGATTTAATGGCTCTTGTAATCAGTTTGGGAACCACTACCGTACAATGATACGGTCGTCTCCAAGGCTACAGCACGCCGTATTTTTATACTATTTTTATACTACTAGTACTATTTTTATACTACTATACGCCGTATTTTTATACTGTACTTTCTTTCTGCTTCTCAAATACATCTTTATAGCCCGGTGCCGGTAGTGACTAGTGACACATCGGTGGCGGAACCGCTGTCTGCTACCTCAACTTCGCTTAATGTCATTGGCTACAGACTGGTGATATCTTCACGTTTGCAGGTTTATGATACGGCACGGTGACATATTCTTTATACTGGTATTGCTACACCCCAGCAAAATTTTACCTCCTATTGGATTTCAATTTGCTGTCGCGGTAACGGCAGCTCGTCATTGGTTTTGGCAGCTAAAAAGTCAGTCGCCATAGGTTTGGCAATAGCGGCCATGGTGTGGAAATACCGCCATGGTTTTGCGGCAGCTGCAGACGCCACAGAATACTTAAAACTGCACTTGACACCCCGCGTCTTGGACGCCACCGCAATGCCAGCAAAATTCCAGCCAAATGTTTTAAGCATTGTACCGGGTGTCATACCAGGGTGTGCCTTGAATCATGAAATGAGGAACAGAAGATATATTTACATTATTACACTATTTATCCTGGATTCATGGTAAATATGAATTTACCACTGAATAGAGGATTAACATGAGAACCTAACGCGACAAAAATTTTGGTGCTTCCCTGCGATTTTTTGAACTCTTTTGGGTTCGAATATTGGGAATTGTAAAAAATTTGAAAATTTTGGTAAGATAACCGATTTTTTTGAACTTTTCCGGTCTCGGGGGCAAAAATATGAATTAACGAATGAATAGAAGACTGACACGAGAACTCAACGCAACAAAGAAATTTTGGTGCTTTCCCGCGATTTTTCAAACTTTTTTGGGTTTGAATATTGGGAATTGTAAAAAAATTCAAAATTTTGGTAAGATAACCGATTTTTTTGAACTTTTCCGGTCTCGGGGGCAAAAAAAAGAATTTACCAATGAATTAAGGACTAACATGAGAACTCAATGCAGCAAAGAAATTTTGGTGCTTTCCTGCGATTTTTCGAACTTTTTTGGGTTCGAATATTGGGAATTGTGAAAAAATTCAAAATTTTGGTAAGATAACCGATTTTTTTGAACTTTTCCGGTCTCGGGGGCAAAAAAAAGAATTTACCAATGAATAGAGGATTAACATGAGAACTCAATGCAACAAAGAAATTTTGCTGCCTTCCTGCGATTTTTCGAACTTTTTTGGGTTCGAATATTGGAAATTGTAAAAAAATTGAAAATTTTGGTAAGATAACCAATTTTTTTGAACTTTTCCGGTCTCGGGGGCAAAAAAAAGAATTTACCAATGAATAGAGGACTAACATGAGAACTCAATGCAACAAAGAAATTTTGGTGCTTTCCTGCGATTTTTCGAACTTTTTTGGGTTCGAATATTGGGAACTGTAAAAAAAATCAAAATTTTGGTAAGATAACCGATTTTTTTGAACTTTTCCGGTTCCGGGGGCAAAAATATGAATTTACCAATGAATAGAGGACTAACATGAGAACTCAATGCAAAAACGAAATTTTGGTGCTTTCCTGCGATTTTTCGAACTTTTTTGTGTCCGAATATTGGGAATTGTAAAAAAATTCAAAATTTTGGTAAGATAACCGATTTTTTTTGAACTTTTCCGGTCTTGGGGGCAAAAATATGAATTGACGAATGAATAGAAGACTGACACGAGAACTCAACGCAACAAAGAAATTTTGGTGCTTTCCTGCGATTTTTCAAACATTTTTGGGTTGAATATTGGGAATTGTAAAAAAAATTCAAAATTTTGGTAAGATAACCCATTTTTTTGAACTTTTCCGGTCTCGGGGGCAAAAAAAAGAATTTACCAATGAATAGAGGACTAACATGAGAACTCAATGCAACAAAGAAATTTTGGTGCTTTCCTGCGATTTTTCGAACTTTTTTGGGTTCGAATATTGGGAATTGTGAAAAAATTCAAAATTTTGGTAAGATAACCGATTTTTTTGAACTTTTCCGGTCTTGGGGGCAAAAAAAAGAATTTACCAATGAATAGAGGATTAACATGAGAACTCAATGCAACAAAGAAATTTTGGTGCTTTCCTGCGATTTTTTGAACTTTTTTGGGTTCGAATATTGGAAATTGTAAAAAAATTGAAAATTTTGGTAAGATAACCGATTTTTCTTAACTTTTCCGGTCTCGGGGGCAAAAATATGAATATACCAATGAATAGAGGATTAACATAAGAACTCAACGCAACAAGGAAATTTTGGTGCTTTTCTGCGATTTTTCGAACTTTTTTGGGTTCGAATATTGGGAATTGTAAAAAAATGTAAAATTTTGGTAAGATAACCGATTTTTTTGAACTTTTCCGGTCTTGGGGGCAAAAATATCAATTTACCAATGAATAGAAGACTGACACGAGAACTCAACGCAACAAAGAAATTTTGGTGCTTTCCTGCGATTTTTCAAACTTTTTCGGGTTTGAATATTGGAAATTGTAATAAAATGTAAAATTTTGGTAAGATAACCAATTTTTTTGAACTTTTCCGGTCTCGGGGGCAAAAAAAAGAATTTACCAATGAATAAAGGACTAACATGAGAACTCAATGCAACAAAGAAATTTTGGTGCTTTCCTGCGATTTTTCGAACTTTTTTGTGTCCGAATATTGGGAATTGTAAAAAAATTCAAAATTTTGGTAAGATAACCGATTTTTTTGAACTTTTCCGGTCTTGGGGGCAAAAATATGAATTGACGAATGAATAGAAGACTGACACGAGAACTCAACGCAACAAAGAAATTTTGGTGCTTTCCTGCGATTTTTCAAACATTTTTGGGTTTGAATATTGGGAATTGTAAAAAAAATTCAAAATTTTGGTAAGATAACCCATTTTTTTGAACTTTTCCGGTCTCGGGGGCAAAAAAAAAGAATTTACCAATGAATAGAGGACTAACATGAGAACTCAATGCAACAAAGAAATTTTGGTGCTTTCCTGCGATTTTTCGAACTTTTTTGGGTTCGAATATTGGGAACTGTAAAAAAAATCAAAATTTTGGTAAGATAACCGATTTTTTTGAACTTTTCCGGTTCCGGGGGCAAAAATATGAATTTACCAATGAATAGAGGACTAACATGAGAACTTAATGCAACGACGAAATTTTGGTGCTTTCCTGCGATTTTTCGAACTTTTTTGTGTCCGAATATTGGAAATTGTAAAAAAATTGAAAATTTGGTAAGATAACCAATTTTTTTGAACTTTTCCGGTCTCGGGGGCAAAAAAAAGAATTTACCAATAAATAGAGGACTAACATGAGAACTCAATGCAAAAACGAAATTTTGGTGCTTTCCTGCGATTTTTCGAACTTTTTTGTGTCCGAATATTGGAAATTGTAAAAAAATTGAAAATTTTGGTAAGATAACCAATTTTTTTGAACTTTTCCGGTCTCGGGGGCAAAAAAAAGAATTTACCAATGAATAGAGGACTAACATGAGAACTCAATGCAACAAAGAAATTTTGGTGCTTTCCTGCGATTTTTCGAACTTTTTTGGGTTCGAATATTGGGAACTGTAAAAAAAATCAAAATTTTGGTAAGATAACCGATTTTTTTGAACTTTTCCGGTTCCGGGGGCAAAAATATGAATTTACCAATGAATAGAGGACTAACATGAGAACTTAATGCAACGACGAAATTTTGGTGCTTTCCTGCGATTTTTCGAACTTTTTTGTGTCCGAATATTGGAAATTGTAAAAAAATTGAAAATTTTGGTAAGATAACCAATTTTTTTGAACTTTTCCGGTCTCGGGGGCAAAAAAAAGAATTTACCAATGAATAAAGGACTAACATGAGAACTCAATGCAACAAAGAAATTTTGGTGCTTTCCTGCGATTTTTCGAACTTTTTTGGGTTCGAATATTGGAAATTGTAAAAAAAATCAAAATTTTGGTAAGATAACCGATTTTTTTGAACTTTTCCGGTTCCGGGTCAAAAATATTAATTTACCAATGAATAGAGGGACTAATATGAGAACTCAACGCAACAAAAAAATTTTATGAAAACCAGCGATTTTTCGAACGTTTTTGGATTCGAATATTGGGAATATCCTGTCCACATTGATGTTTATTAGTTGACACGAGGTGGACCTATGCATCGTTTTGTTTTTATTGGACACGTTAATTCAGCGTTTCCCAACCTTTTTTGGTAATAATATCCAATCCTTGACAACGACAAGAATTTAAAATGTGTTCTTATTTTAATTTAATTGTGTTCATGGTCACTCGCGGTTGCGTCGACTTATGGCAAGATGAAAGCATTACTTCTTTTAAATGCCACGGCAATCTGCGAACATAATATTGTTAGAATATATTGCCCGGTTATTACTTATCGATTTTAATCGGTAAGTATTTGTCTGTCTGTTTGTTTGTCTGTCTGTTCGGTCTTTGACCGATATTCTCGTATTAGTTTTGATATAAATTATTTGCGATATTGATTTTGGATGAATTATGTCGTATAATTAGCGAGTTATTAATTAATTAGTGAGGGGACACTATGGAGTGAGAGCGCTTTTTTGGGGGATCCCCTAACTTTCGATCGATAAGTCTTCGGTCTCTGACCGATATTCTCGTTGTACTTTCATTACTACCGTACATCCTTCAGAATTTAACTCTAGATAAAGTGGAGAGAGAGACCTTTACAGCAATAGTTGATAGATAGTGAGTTGCTAAGTCAAATACCATAAAACTTTTAATATTAGATTCGAAATACTTCGGATTTAGTATTAAAAAATCAATGGTTTCATGGTCAACTACTATTATAGAACACGTAGTGGACCTATGGATCATTTTACTTATCGATCTTTAGATCGGTAAGTATGTTGATAGGTATTTGTTGTATTTGACACAAAATATAGGATTGGTAAATAGGCTATTGGCTGGAAACTAATCGAAACAATCCAGTTCGGATTTGCAGAATTCTTCATAAAAGTATTTCTTCGAGTAGTAATTCAACAACGACGTGGGGAGTTGGCTATTGTTTTCTACATTTTTGATATTGGCTGAAAACTAATCGAAACAATCCAGTTCGGGTTTGCAGAAATTTTCGAATCGAAACCGCAGCGACCGATATTCTCGTTATTAATATTATGTTGCTGTTGTTGGTCTTTGAAACATATTAAAAAACAGCTTTTCTCGAAGATTACTGGGCCTATTGCTTTGAAATTTGTAGTGGTTTATAAATTTTTTGCCAGAAGGCTATTACTTTTTTATTCCAAATTTTCCCTGTATTACTTTTTAATCAAGTGAACGCGGTTTTTAATCCGCCATGCGAACCAATAAAAGTTCAAAAAATCGCAGGGAAGCATCAAAATTTCTTTGTTGCGTTGAGTTCTCATGTCAGTCCTCTATTCATTGGTAAATTCATATTTTTGCCCCCGAGACCCGAAAAGTTCAAAAAAATCGGTTATCTTACCAAAATTTTCAACTTTTTTACAATTCCCAATATTAGAACCCAAAAAAGTTCGAAAAATCGCGGGAAAGCACAAAAATTTCTTTGTTGCGTTGAGTTCCCATGTCAGTCCTCTATTCATTGGTAAATTCATATTTTTGCCCCCGGGACCGGAAAAGTTAAGAAAAAATCGGTTATCTTACCAAAATTTTGTTATTTTTTTCACAATCAACAATATTCGAACCCAAAAAAGTTCAAAAAATCGCAGGGAAGCACCAAAATTTCTTTGTTGCGTTGAGTTCCCATGTCAGTCCTCTATTCATTGGTAAATTCATATTTTTGCCCCCAAGACCGGAAAAGTTTAAAAAAATCCGTTATCTTACCAAAATTTTCAATTTTTTTACAATGCCCAATATTCGAACCCAAAAAAGTTAAAAAAATCGCAGGAAAGCACCAAAATTTCTTTGTTGCGTTGAGTTCTTATGTTAGTCCTCTATTTATTGGTAAATTCATATTTTTGCCCCCGAGACCGGAAAAGTTAAGAAAAAATCGGTTATCTTACCAAAATTTTTATTTTTTTCACAATCAACAATATTCGAACCCAAAAAAGTTCGAAAAATCGCAGGAAAGCACCAAAATTTCTTTGTTGCATTGAGTTCTCATGTCAGTCCTCTATTCATTGGTAAATTCATATTTTTGCCCCCGAGACCGGAAAAGTTTAAAAAAATCGGTTATCTTACCAAAATTTTCAACTTTTTTACAATTCCCAATATTTAGAACCCAAAAAAGTTCGAAAAATCGCAGGAAAGCACCAAAATTTCTTTGTTGCATTGAGTTCTCATGTTAATCCTCTACTCATTGGTAAATTCTTTTTGTTGCCCCCAAGACCGGAAAAGTTCAAAAAAATCGGTTATCACACCAAAATTTTCAATTTTTTTACAATGCCCAATATTCGAACCCAAAAAAGTTTGAAAAATTGCAATGAAGCACCAAAATTTCTTTGTTGCATTGAGTTCTCATGTCAGTCCTCTATTCATTGGTAAATTCATATTTTTGCCCCCGAGACCGGAAAAGTTTAAAAAAATCGGTTATCTTACCAAAATTTTCAACTTTTTTACAATTCCCAATATTTAGAACCCAAAAAAGTTCGAAAAATCGCAGGAAAGCACCAAAATTTCTTTGTTGCATTGAGTTCTCATGTTAGTCCTCTATTCATTGGTAAATTCATATTTTTGCCCCCGAGACCGGAAAAGTTTAAAAAAATCGGTTATCTTACCAAAATTTTCAATTTTTTCACAATTCCCAATATTCAAACCAAAAAAAGTTCAAAAAATCGCAGGGAAGCACCAAAATTTCTTTGTTGCATTGAGTTCTCATGTTAGTCCTCTATTCATTGGTATATTTATATTTTTGCCCCCGAGACCCGAAAAGTTCAAAAAAATCGGTTATCTTACCAAAATTTTCAACTTTTTTACAATTCCCAATTCTAGAACCCAAAAAAGTTTGAAAAATCGCAGGGAAGCACCAAAATTTCTTTGTTGCGTTGAGTTCTCATGTCAGTCCTCTATTCATTTGGTAAATTCATATTTTTGCCCCCGGGACCGGAAAAGTTTAAAAAAATCGGTTATCTTACCAAAATTTTTATTTTTTTCACAATCACCAATATTCGAACCCAAAAAAGTTCAAAAAATCGCAGGAAAGCACCAAAATTTCTTTGTTGTGTTGAGTTCTCATGTCAGTCCTCTATTCATTGGTAAATTCATATTTTTGCCCCCAAGACCGGAAAAGTTTAAAAAAATCGGTTATCTTACCAAAATTTTCAATTTTTTTACAATGCCCAATATTCGAACCAAAAAAGTTAAAAAAATCGCAGGAAAGCACCAAAATTTCTTTGTTGCGTTGAGTTCTTATGTTATTTCTCTATTTATTGGTGAATTCATATTTTTGCCCCCGAGACCGGAAAAGTTCAAAAAAATCGGTTATCTTACCAAAATTTTCAATTTTTTCACAATTCCCAATATTCGAACCCAAAATAGTTCGAAAAATCGCAGGAAAGCACCAAAATTTCTTTGTTGCATTGAGTTCTCATGTTAGTCCTCTATTCATTGGTAAATTCATATTTTTGCCCCCGAGACCGGAAAAGTTTAAAAAATTCGGTTATCTTACCAAAATTTTCAATTTTTTCCCAATTCCTAATATTCGAACCCAAAAAAGTTCAAAAAATCGCAGGGAATCACCAAAATTTCTTTGTTGCGTTGAGTTCTCATGTTAGTGTTCTATTCATTGGTAAATTCATATTTTTGCCCCCGAGACCCGAAAAGTTCAAAAAAATCGGTTATCTTACCAAAATTTTCAACTTTTTTTACAATTCCCAATATTAGAACCCCAAAAAGTTCGAAAAATCGCAGGGAAGCACCAAAATTTCTTTGTTGCGTTGAGTTCTCATGTCAGTCCTAAATATAAATCCACCCATAGCGTGATGCCCAAACTATTAGTTTACGTAGTAGGTACATTTCATTTGACGCGGAAACACTATAATATGAAATTCGGGCATTTAAATTAGATATTTGGCTGGTATTTGGCTGGCGTGACAGTGGTGTCTTGGACTGCCTGATTGTGCAACAGCATTTGTAGGTGTAAAGTTCGTGTGTAATACGAGCTGTATAATCAGATAATGGAAATGCAGGATGATAAAGTAGATATTCCTGATTCCACGATGATGCCTGCAGAAAACTCAAAGCTGACAGCAAATATTGTGCATGCGGGCGGAGACAACGGCGAAGCGCTTTCAGAAAAAGGTGATTGATGGATTGAAAAATCCAGAAATCGGGGAGGGGGGGGGGTTGAATATGCATCAAATAACCTAGTAACTAATTGAATTTGCTCGGTTACCGCTGTACTGTAACTATAACTATTTTTCCTGTTTCTAGGGATACCGGTAACTAGAAGTAAATTGATACCATGATACTGGGCTTATCACTTTCATTGGCCTCCAGTTTCTTGTGTTTTTTTAGTTCATTGTTTCAATTTAGATGATAGAAAGTTTGTGATGGTATTGCTATGTAATCTTTCCCCAAATTTTGCATCCATTCTTTCGATATTAATGACCACAGAAATAAAAATATATTCGAAAGATATTGATATTTGTTAAGATTTATAAAGTTATCACAGAATAGAAGTATTATTGTTCAATACCATATCGTTCCCATGGGATATCATTAAACACAACCAAGCCGAATATATCAACAAAATTTTATTAACCTTTTATTACCATTTTCAGATATGACAACTCATGACCATTATATGAAAGATGTGAATGAAATTTTAGCAGAGCTCGACGAAAAGAGAGAAGGAGACAAACGTGTAGTCGAAGAATTTCGCTTGAAAATGAATGAAATGGTGGGTTTCTTCATAAAAGTAAAATTGATTAATAGTAATTACTTAGGTGAAAAGTTTCTAGTCATTCCAAATTGCAACATTATATTCATATAGCATCTTGAAAATTTTTTACATTTCTGTTCATTTATTTTCTAACTTGCTTTTTTTAATATTCAAATTACTAACTTTATAGGCCTATATCATTTCAAAATATGAAAACATTACAGGTCGATGAAATTTGTGGTCAAATTGAACAAAGACTTGTAGCGAGATATGAAAAAACAAATGAAAAAGTTTCAATAAAGGTATTTTCATTTGTTATTGTATTGTATCAATCTGTACTATCATAAGAGATATCCACACGGTTTTGTATTTTTGAGTATACGTTCTTATCACATTCACATAATTTAAACTAGATTAATAATCTGTCTAAAATTGTTGAGGATTCAAAATGTTAATACCAACTTCATCTTGGATTTCTGTCTGATCGAAATTATTAGAAAATCTTGAATACTACCTGTTTTCTTTGCAAAAATTTTATTACTGTAACTTTTAACTTCAAAATTTGAAAATACATCTCTTGAATAAAAGTATAACTGTGTGTCAAGCGTTAGGTCTGAGTTGTTATATTAATTACCAACAGTCCACAGGTTCAACAAAATTTCAATCTCTCATCGTTCTTCCACGCTTAAAAGTCTGTGCAGTGTGGATTCATATAGTAATTTAAGCTTTTTTTACATGTTTAGCAATTATAATTTTTTAATACTAGATAATAAATACCACTATGTAAACTCATTATCATTTTTTGAATCTGAGAAGTGTAATCGACCATGCCAACAAAATTTGACCTAAATGTGTTGGAATGCTGGTTACACCTTTCAGATTCGAATTCCATGTCCCACCTCATTCAGGGTGTAATAAATTAGGTAGGAAATGCCGAACTGGAAAGTTTTTGGTCCCTCCATACAACAGCAGCTTCTTGTATATTGTTGGATATCAGTGGCGGCCATTATAGGGCCATGTTCAGAGCGAAAATAGTCGAATAACGCACTCATTCAAACTTACAGTATTTAATTGAAAGAATATAACATGTTAAGTCCATGCTGCTGAAAACAAGTTACTAATCTCATACCCGACTTTGACTTGTAACCGGACGAGAGACCGTGGTTCGCCATATGATTAAGCCATCGTATCGCCATTCCTCTTCCTCAGGATAAATATGTAAATCCTATCTATCTATGCTTTGGATTAGTTGGAATTGAAGGAGTGCATGTGTACATTTTGTGCAACTTAAATTTTTAATATAATTTTCAGCTTGAATACTTGAATGAAATATTGGGCAGAGTAGGTGTTCTCGAACAAGAATTATCAGATTTCAATAGTGCTGTTGGTGTTTTATTTCAAGAAGCTTCCAACTGAAGGTCAGCATGTTATAGTGTTCATCAAGAATTCTAAAACTATGAATACTGTTTGATAAGTAATTTGTATGAAGGAAGACGTATCCAAAGTACACACATGACATGGAAGCACATGCAGCACAAGTGTATCTCAGATAATAGGGTTTGAAAACTTCACCTCGAAGATCTTGCCATGAGGCTAACATCTGTATTGTTTGTTTATTTGCAAATTCTACATTATTGAGTTACATCTATTTCCACCCAACCAATATGGACTACCAGAATCTGTTACTTAATACTGACTCAGAAATAATACATACTCTTTTGCTCTATTGCTACTACTAATACAATTTACATTATAAACCTTTTTACCTATTTTGTTAGCTTTGATTTCTTGCATATTTTTGCTGTTTTTTTATTGTTTAAAGTTCTTGTTTATTTATTTTTTTGTGTTTTTGAAATTGTTTATGCAATCATTTTATTGCTATATTCACTGTTCATATTGTTCTACTTCCAGTCAGGTTGTCCTTCGCTCAGCATGGCCCAATGTTGGGGTGCATCTTCGTCGGTCACCTTATCATTGTGCCATGCTTGGCTCATTGGCTGTATATTTCAAATTGGTACTTGGTAGTTAATACAAATTGGTATTTGGTAGTTGTTTCGTTTGCTCTATTTTGACATGTAGTGGTATCGGAGTGATTGGGGTTTTATTTTTGACAAAATAGAGGACTTGTTTATTTCTGAAATATTGCCTAGCCCTAATCAACAAGAAGAGGACTGTGCAAGATGCATTTTCCAGCACGATTGACGAGTTTTCGCAACTCCTAGTGTTATATCAAGTCCATGCTTCCCAAAGGAAATACATTAACTGGCTAACTAATCCCATACCCGGCATGAACCGGTAACCGGGTGAGGGGCCGTGGTTGGCCACATGATTGAGCCGTCTTATCGCCTCTCCTCTCCCCCGGGATAAATATGTAAATTGTATCCTATTTGCTAGCTTTGGGTTACGTCCAAAATGTAAGTACTATTGGCAGGGTTTTCCAAAACGAATCGAATATTCGAATATCATAGTATTCGAATACCTTTTCGACTGATTTTCGAATAGTAGTCACTTTTCGCCGTAAACGTGGTGTTTCGTTTTACGGGACTCTTCAAACGACTTTTTACGCTGTCTCACGTATTGTAATGAAGATGAAATAGAATCGGCACTTTGATTGTTTATATTCTGTGCGATCGTACGTCTCATAGTGTTGCGACACATTTGCACGTTTGCGTGGGTGGACATTGCCGACATTCGTCTACGAGGCTTTTAATTTACAAATTCATTTCCATCACGTCGAAAAATTGACAATTACCGCTTTTCTAGGCCCAATTTCATTTCTATGTGGCCTGCTTATTAGTTTTCTCAAGCCTGATTTGTGTAACCTTATATTTGGGTCTTAGGGTCTGCCAATCATGATATTCAATCGCAGGCCGGTTATCGTTACTTTAAAGAGAAACATGGCCGCCGAGATAAAGTGATTTGTGACCCTTTCGTTTTGCCGATTCAGCAGAACACGACAGGGACGGGAAAACACAGCTGTGAAATAACCCGTGGACGTACAGTGTAGTATTTATCACATTCCAAAATTATTTTAACATTCGGGTTAATAGGTTGTCCAAAATTATTGCCGCTTTACAACTTAAATTTACCGCTCAATTGTTAATATTAATTAATTCTGTGAGTATGATTCTACCAAACTAACATGATCTGGTTCTAAACATATAAAATTATTAGCGCATATCACAGGGACACAATTTTTCTACCAGTCCTCTTGGAGGCCTATATGGAAAAAAACCTTTTTTGAGTGCTAAAAATAGACATCGTCCTATTTGCCATGTGGACTTATTAGTCGGGAAATACGGTATTTATAGCCGTCATTGTTACGATATCCAATAAATTGGCACAAGTTGGAAAAACAAGTTGATTTATTAGAAAATAATTTCTGGCAAATAATTTTGATAACGATAGTTAAAAGTATCGATCCTTTACCAGGATGATTTTTTGTTGCGCAAAATAATCCAATCCATGACTGGTACCAGCATTTAAAATGTCATGTCGAATTAATTTATTCCGTTCAACGTAACTCATGGTTGTATGGACAATCTGTGGACATAAAATGTGTGGTAAACTGACCGATATTATTAAATATTGATTCCTATTTTCATATTGAGAAATAATGAAAGTATTAATACCAAATACCACGGGTATTTGTAGACACGAAATACGTGGTAAACTGCCCAATTATATTTAATTTTGGAATCGTATTTACAAAATAATAAAACTATTATAATTCTAAAATGCAACGGCGATCTGTGCCTTAAAATGTGTGGTAAACTGCCCGATTTACCAACATTTGAGTTATGATAATAGAACTAAATTAACACGGTAAGGCATTTTAAATAGTGGTATCAGTCATGGATTCAAATATTTTACGCAGCACAAAATCATCCTAGTAAAAAGTCCATACTTTTAAATACAAACCAATGGCAACCATTATCCAAATTAGTTCCCAAAGAGCGGGATAAAGTATAAATTCTTTCTCCGACTTGTGACAATTTTTTCGTGAGTACGAAAATAAGAATCAAAAACTAATTATATTCGGCACAATATCACGGCAATATGTGGACATAAATTGTGTGGCAAACTCGCGATTAATATTAATTTTTGATTCCTATTTTTGTATTTACAAAATACAACGGCGATCTGTGGACTTAGAATGTGTGGTAAACTACCCGATTATAAATAGTTTTTGCTTCCTATTTTCATATTTATAAAATAATAAAAGTATTATTACTCAAACATACAACGGCGATCTGCGGACTTAAAATGTGTGGTAAAGTTTCCGAATATAAAAAATTTTTGATTCGTATAAAAAATTGTCACAAGTCAGAAAAATAACTCATACTTTATAATGGTTGATATTTAAAAGTATGGGCGTTTTACTAGGATGATTTCGTGTTGCGCGATTATTCAAATCCATCACCGATACCACTATACTGCAAAATATATACTGCAATAATCTGCAAATATGAAATGCCTGGTAATATAACTAGGTTGTAACTTGTAGATAGCAGTTATTCCATTGCTTATTGTATGGAAATTCCTACATACATTTAGATAAGCTTCAATTAGTGAATTTTATTTTCGAAGTATTCGAAATTTCATATTCGAAAAAAATAATTTCGAATGTATTCGAAATAGTGAACTATTTGGTATTGGCCATCCCTGACTATTGGGTGACACAGCGATCGTTTTTTCGTTTGTATTTTGGTTTAATCGCGTTATGAAAAACGAGATAAGACTAGGTCTTCGAAATTATCTGTCGGTATTACTGGAATATTCTGGGCACAAATAGCGAATCTGACGATGTATACCAGTTTGAGCGCGTCAATTCGCGTAAACGCTCTCACATTGATCTTCAGAAATATTGATGTGGTTCAATATAGGGAGAAGTTTTCTGGAAATGAGGAAATAGCCATATAGACGACGCTCGTTTAAGCAGTTTATAGCAGGGGTTTTCAAACTTTTGGTGTTGCGGAGCCCTTGAAAATGTTGACTATTATTCACGGAGCCCCAAAATAAATGTTAAAATTGTTACTTTCAGGTTAATATTCCTGAGCAAGTTAAAAGTACTTTACTCAATTTAAATGCTGAACCTTTTTAATAGGGTTAATTAATACAAGTCATAAATGAATCTAAATTTCAAACATAAATTATATATTATACTAAAGCTGTAAATTTGACACTTGACAAACATAATAAATTAGGGGTCAAATTTTTTCCCTCTTGACATTTTTGGAAGACCCAAAAGGCCGCTAATAATGTGCGCGATTGCATTTTGTTACAATCGCCGATTTTTTTCCCCCAGCATGGCGTGTTTTTGAACCTTTAAACATCTTTTCGCCAGTGTTTATTCTCCCTAAATCAAGAATTTCCCTCGGCATATACATGTATTGTTACACAACGACGACGTTAATTGCTTTTTTGTTCTCGTGGGGAAATATGAGTTCAGTGTAAAAAATATGTTATCATTTTATAGTCATCGGCGACGAAATGCTAAAAATAATAATTAATAAAGAGGTATTTCCGCAACTCAAATTTCTTGATTGAAAAGCGGCATTCTAAAATATTAAAACTAAAACTTAAAATGGAAGATCACACGTTTGGTTTCAGCAGACTCACCTCTGATTGAAAACGCTTTTATAGACATTGAAAATCACAAAATTTGGTGTTATGTTAGGTTTTCATCGTAGTAACTGCAAAATCGAAACACAGTCAATTGTGCGCGCGATGTACCTTTTTTTCCCATTTTGAAACTACCGGCGGAGCCGCACGCAATCAATTGTGCGCGCCATCCGCGATGTACCTTTTCATTCTGAAACTACCGAACGAGCCGAATGCAATAAAATAAATTTCAATTTTTCGTATTTTGCCCAGACATTGTGAATTTTTAAACGACGATATCTTGCTTAAAAATAATCTCAAGTGCGAAAGAACAAATCAAGTTTGACAAATCCCAAGATCGCAAAAATACGACTCCAATTTATTAATAGTTGGCAGTTTATCACATATTTTATGTTATTTTTAGAATAGTATTCTTCAATTTTAGTAATCCTAATAGTAATCTCGAATCAAACGTGAGTAACGATGAGCACAATTACATTATAACGACGAGACACGTTAAATGCTCGCATAGGTCATGGATTAAATATTTTACGCAACAGCAATCTCGTTATCCGTTTTTTAAATCGCGAATGTTGCGCGGAAATTTCCGATTCTAATTTTGAACCACCCCCTCTCAAAAATCCTGGCTGCGCTCCTGCTTATAAATAATGTTATTTTTTAATTGCGCCTCTTTGCCAAATTTCGAGGCTATATTTTTGTCAGATTTTATCAAAGCTGTTATTGCTTCTTTGAACAGTTACAAAATTAGTCAGTATTTTGAAAAGTAATCGAATAGCTCGCGGAGCCCCTGGGTTTCTCTCGCGGAGCCCCGGGGCTCCGTACGGAGCACTTTGAGAACCTATGGTTTATAGTATCCCACAATACGTTCCGTGTGACTTGATTACCGAACACGCATTATTCATGTTTAATCCAGCAATTATTCAAGAGATATTTAAAAAAAATTGATGCACAAAATCTTCCCGAGATATGAAAGCATGTCAGCTGCATCCATAGGAAACAAACGCCTAGCTGTCTACAATGACGCTCGACCCAGACTGATAGCGGGAGAGCGACGGTAGGCCACATCCATCGGTGCTGAGCAGTCCTATGGGTATTCATGTTGTCGAAGAAGGGCCCCAGCCAGACGACGGTTTTTGATAATTTATTCGTCTGTTTCGCAAACTATTCAATCCATCATTCAGCCATTGGATATTATGCCATATTAGTTGTGCATGATATAACTCGCGATTGCACGACGAAATAAAAGCCCTACTACTCTAAAATAACACTGCAATCCGCGGACATAAGAATGCGTGGTAAACGTATTTTTGGGTGACCGTACATTTGAACCAATGTGTATATTCGCGGGTTCAATCTATACGCGGGTGCTAAAATCCATGGGTTAGGGTTAGTATGGGTTCAAATATCCGTGGAACACAAAAAAATTGCCATAGGTGCAAGTATGCAGGTGGGTTCAAATGTAATGAAACCGTATTTTTGCGATGTTGGTAGATCGTCAAATTTGGGCTGTTCTTGTCACACTGACTTCGCTCTGCTGCCAGCCATTCATATTGTTTTAGATATAACCGTTAGAAAACTTGAAAGATGTGCGATCGAATCCCAGCAAGATATGCATTTTATTTTAGTACAATAAAAAAAGTGATTTGACACCAGAATTCCGTGGACATGAAATGATAAGGTAAATCGTGCGAACAATTAACTGTTTCAATTTCAGTGACCACATCAATACAGTATAGTTTACAAAAGCAACCGAGCATAATTTTGGCAGGGTAGTCGGAAATTTGGTTTACGGACTCTCCCCTCAATTATCATCAGCACGGACCGCATAATAACTCCGTGTTTTATTGCTCGCGGGAAAGAAACTAATCATCAACGTCCACATGGCACAAGACATACATAATTGAATAACCACGCCACACTGATGGGGTATAGATAGACATCACAACCTATTTTATCCAAATCATAACTTTGACCAATTTGGAGTACGGTACTTTCAATTATGTAGCAGGTGTATATTTCTTTCTCACTCTGAGAAAAATGATATATATATATATATTTATTTATACTTCAATTAATACTCAGTAAAGCTGAGTTGGTGTGGTATTTATTTCAACAAACAATATTTTGTAATCTCACAATCGTACCATATGTCTATAACATTTTCATAGATTTCACATAAGATTTTAAATTTTATCTATGTGCTTTATTCTATCTATTCGGCATCGTGGTTTGCTGGAGTTACGTTGAAACGGTTTGACGTGAAATCTACACAAAGGATCAATGCGTCATGTTAATACCTATCGGATCGGTATCACATTGCGAAATTTCCAGCAGTTTTCAATCTAGCGATACAAATTATGTAAACACAATACAATAAACGATCACCATGTGAAGAAAAAATCACACGACAGCGATATTCGAAAGTGGGTCAAGAAATCTGAAATAAGTGGGTCACGAAAATTTAGGTGTTTTGTGTTTGTCGCGTCAAAAAGATAGATGAAAGTTTTCGCATGAGAGAAAGTGTCGCAGAAACGACAAAGCAGAATCTAGCCCAGTGTTTTAGTATCAGTGAATTGTGGAGTTTTGTTAGAAGCGCAGTTACGTAAACACAATGAAGCTGAATCTTTGATGAATTTCATATTTTTATTATGCCTATAAGTCCGACTCTTTTTCTGGAAATTTGGTAGAACGCTCCATGGCCATATACGTGGTATTTTGCCAATATATATATATGATATATCGATATGCCAGTTATTAGTCCAATCATTATTTGCGCCTGGCATAGTACAATTGACCACTCATATTCCGTTTTATTATGTTTTTCGGGAATTTTAGCAAATTTGTTGGAAAGTTCGGGACGTAAACGATTCAAATTGATAATCAAAATTTGTTTAAGCCAAAGTGACTTTGGTTTGAGCTAATGGAGTTTTGCCAAAGGTAGATCACAACTATATATCGTCACGCTAATAACCGAATTGCCTAAGTCATTTTTGGCGGTTTTGAGTTTTTCATAAAATAGGTATTTATGTAATGCTGCGCACCTGTCTGTTAACTCAGATTTTATTTTAAGAATTCCGAAACCCATAAAAATAAAGATTTTGTATGATACGCAAATTTGTTCAATTGTTTCGTCATAATGAATTATCATTATTAACGTGGTACTATTATGACGTCACAAAGGCAAAATAACCTCGGCGAAGGATTTTCGAGTTTTTGCATCTCAGATTCTAGCTTAGCGCTTATAAATTTCAGTTTAAACTACAGTATAGGAAGGCGTGCACTTGTGATATTCACTGTCTGAATCCAATTCACCTTGGTTGGCTTTTATATAAGGGTACATTGCTGTTTTATTCTTTATATTTAACTTTAGTCTTATTTCGGTGGATGTGCAGAGCGTGTTTTTTTGATATATTTTTAAACATAAAAAATAATGTAATTGAAACAGATTAGCTATTTTGGGAATTAGACATCGTATATACTAAGAATTACATTCATTTTTGGATTGTTTTGTTTTCAGGACTGGTACATATAGTCAAGTTGCAAAATTGCGTATGTCCCCTAGTCATAGACACATTTCTGCTCAAGTCACAGTGCGCCATTATGACGTCACTTGACTGCGTCATACAAATTAACTTGAATCCGTCTACGATCGAAAAATTGAACTATGGCAAATTATTGATTCTCAATGGCATAGCAATTTCATTAGGAATTTTTTTACGTTTTTCTCAAAACTGCTAAAAATGACTTACGCAATTCGGTTATTAGCGTGACGATATGGAATGTAGCGCTAGTGATATACAAAAAAGAAAGTGTGGAATTGAATAAAGAAAGAAAGGACACATGAGTTCAAGATCTTGCGTATTAATATCTTCGCCAATGATTATTGAAATAAAGAAGATTTAGGTTATGCTATTCGCGAAATACATATATTTATTTACACCAGTTAGAAAATAAGGTACCGTATCCTGTCATAACAAAAATTTCAAACAATTGAATTTGAGAACACGCTCATGCCGTTACGAATTCTAGAGTGTTTCAGTAACAACATTAGTGGAAGGGGAAAGGTATTGTTGCGATTAAGCAATCTCCTTTACTTATATTTTTTAATTTATTTGAAGACGTATATTCCAAAAATTGAGAATTTTTTACATATATGAAGCGCATATTGAATGATTCATATTTGAACCACCCTATCCTATATATTAATATTATCCGTTTTTGTCATTAGTCAGTTAACGCAAATCCTGAAATACAAGAAATATTTGAGGCCTTTTTTGAGCGTAGTGGTATTTTTGAAGATGCAACAATTCTCTCATAACATATAAGAAGATTGGACATAAAATAGCGTAAAAAATACAATGCCTCATTTTAATCTATCGTTACGAATTTATGTAAGGATGCGTCTTATGAGATAATGCTAGATTTATATGAAAAATTCTAATTTAAGGCGAAGGCGGTGTGTTTTCTGTAGCCTACATTGTGAAATATATATATACGAAGCCAAATTTTGAGTAGGTTAAATCTTAACCACCTGTATAAAATCGGAGCACGCCGTAGAATTTTTCATGCTTCGCCATGGAATGTATACAGACGTTGTGGCCCACGGACTTCTCGGATGGCGAGGTGGCATGTGACTGTTTGAGTTTAATTTTCAGTCGCCATAAGTTTTTCACAAATAATACCGTACAAATACCGTTAACCTGCCAGCATCGGTACAACCCTAATCCTAACTATGTCCTACAAATCCACATGTATTTGTAAAAGAAAAGGCTGTGGGTCGAGAAGTCTGTAAAACGCTATGAAGACGTCATTATCTCCAGCCATGTTTCACCTTCGTCCAAACCCTCTTGCATTTTGACGTCACTAATGGGTGGTTTATACAAATATGATTATGTTAAGCTTTCCATGGTATTCTGATTCTTCCACGCTTATAAATGCGTCTGCGAATTGACGAAATCTGAGTAGATTTATTGCATGATTGTATTGTTGTGGGAATTTATGGGAACAGTATTAACAGTTAACGCAATCAATCGTCTTAAATCAATACATCATAATTGTCGATATTGATTTTTGGATATTCGCATTGCGGTATATACGGCTAATAATATTCATTATTATGTATAACAAACGATAGACCAATTTAGCTCGAAAGCACACAGTTGATATCAAGTTTATCTGCTAATTAACGACGCTTCAGTTTGATGGCTCATCCAGAAAAGAAGAAATGACAAAAATACTATCCTCAAACCATGAAACAATTGTCTCATATCGTGACTTGCTTGAATGTAATTTTTGTCAAATAATTTTACATAATTACTGTTGTTTTCTAATTCAAATCGATGACTAGATTTGAATCTACGAGTCTCAACGGAGCTGAATTCTTTACAATGTACAGTAGTTTAATTAAAGAATATTTTATTTACAAAATGAAATAAATGGAAATTCCTTTTTAGATTTCCTGTCATGTGCGCTTTAATGACTGAAAAAATCTTGGTGGGATCAAAATATTAATATGAAATAAAACGATTAGTGTTTTCGATTCAGGATTAACCCTAATTTGCGTAAGAAGTTGGATTATCGTTTGCTTCTCGTACAAACGAAATAAAATTGCCAGATTTTGATATCGACGCTGTTTGTGGCTCAGTTGGTCATTCAACGATAATTTTGGAGGAGGTTTGAACATGCGGTTGTTAGAAGTAATTCCTCATGAGACATAAAGGAAAAAGATACTGTATAAAGTTGGATGATATTTTATATATTCAAATCATTGGATTGTGAGTTGTTTATGGATATTGAAACTGAACGTAAAATAACTTTATCTGAAATACGAGATACATATATGCCCAATGAGAAACAAGTGGGATATTCCACAAATTTTCGAATATGGCGTAATGTTGAAGTTATTTAGAATAACTTGAAATATATTAGAATCAACTTGAGTTATCTAAAGCAATTCTCCATAATCAGTCGAAGGTAGGCAGGTAGAGTTGATCACTTTTTTTAGCAGTATCGCTTTCTGGTTAATGTTATATTTCACCGCTGAAAGACAGTAGATTACGGCATGATACGAATTCAGAAACCGCTCATGTCACACATGAGCCGTATCTAACTCGCGTCTTGCCCGCACTATTTTGCGATGATCTTCATATGAAAGATGGTAAATGAATATAAACATAGATCCACTGTTTTATGATAGTAAGCAGATAGGGATGTAGTGAAAACAGGTCCTAGAGATATAGATAACGTAGTTTTTCAGTTCTGTTAGTTTGCCATTACCGCCGCTAACTTTTGTAAACTTTTTTGTACAAGCTACTACCTACCTTACTACAGTAAATCTTAGTGATAAATCAAGTCACAATTGGATTTCTCACAAAAAGCAATGGGAAAATTCCAAGTCGTCGTCGCTGGAAGGGTTGAGAAAAAATGTGAGTACAATTTTGACTTGTCAGTACATGTTTATATCGAAATGAGAATTCAGAAATTCAATCATGTATTATTTGGCCGAATGAGTTCAGTATAGAGCCGAGTTAACGTTCATGTGTAAACGGAATTTATCAAATGTATTTTCGAGATTGCCTTTAGACTAGAAATTGCCTTTAGACTAAATGTGCACCATTTGTGGGTTCCTTAAATACTCAATTATTTAATTGGAAACTAATTGAATCCCATAACTGTGACAAAATGTGTGCGGTTTCAATAGGGAAAACATGAACTTCAAGATTTTCACTTCGGGGATTCCTAAATGATTTGAATCGAATTTTCTTGCCACAACAAGCAAAAACAATAATTTATTTTCATCAAAACATGGCTGGTGTTTGCCTATCATGATTTTAATTGGTTATATTTTCACCTCAGATTTGTTGCTGGCGGCGCTGATAGCTTCCGTTTGTGGCTCATCTGCAGGTGATGTCATGACGGTCCCTCCATTGGAACCATATTTCGATCTCACCATACCCTCAAATGTGACAACAAAAAATGCTCTTCTCCGGGAGATGAGACAGGAACAACTTACTACGTACGCTCCACCAAACGTAACTGCAAACAATGCTTTACTCCGGATCTTACGAGCAACTTCACCGATGAATGTTTCCACTGCCCAAAATGTGCTGATTCGAAACTTGAGAGTTGAGGAATTTACCGGATCACCATTGAACTCGACATCAAAAAATTCTCTCTTGCGTCTTATAGGAGAAAATAGTATTACGACGGCTGCAACATCAAACTTGACTACCAGAAATTCACTTCTTCGAGCGATGGCGCCTGCAAGTTTCACAACAGCCCCGAAAAGAAATGCAACTACAGAAAATACGATTTTGCAATTACGAAGGAAAAATGAAGTTAAAACCACACCGTCGACGAATGCCACTACATCAAACATGCTTTTGCGCATCGCACGTGATGTTGAAACAACAGAGGGCGCTATTGCATTGACAACACCAGTCACGAAAACTGCAGTTGAAAAACTTCTACGTGTGGTTGAACCTGAATCTACGCTAACTACAGTCTCCCCGACAAATGAAACAACCGGTAAAAATGATTTGCTTCGCATTGGAATGAATGAGGTTACAACTTCACCTTCTAATACAACGTCTGGGAACATAAATTTGCGTTTGCTCGAAGTGGAGAAACTCTCATTTACTGCATTACCTACGGCAAATACCACAAATTCGGAAAATCTGCATAATCGAAACATGCCAGGTAATAACCAGTTAATTTTACATTCAAAATATTTCATCTTGTCAGTATTTTTGTATTGTTTCATGCAGTTTTGTTGGTTCTTCAAATTGTCGAGTATAGTCATAAATAAATTTCGAGTAAGGCGTCAATGCCCTGAAAGTAATTTTTTATTCATAGGGGTTACGCCGGAAAACAATTCAAATACAGAAAACCAAACCGGAAGCCACACAAAAATGCCAGAATTACGTAGAGTAAGTAGAATTATATATTTTAAAAGATGATTGCATAGACTGGGTAAGCTACAAAAGATACCAATGTTGTCTGAATTTTTGTTTAAGCCTTGGCAATCGATTAAAATCTCCAGGTATCTGATAGAATTATGTCATAGATATTTCCTCTAATGTTTCAAAAATTGAAACATAGGATTGGTGGGTGCTCCCGAGGTAAGTTCACCAAGATGACGCACAACCTGAACATAGTATGTGTACCAGGTTAGGGTTATCAGGTTGTGCGTCATCTGATGCACATACTTCTGGGGCGCCGATTGGTGTTCTCCTTGTCAGGTCAATTAGTATATTTGTCAAGTTGTCATCTGTTCTAGAATATTTCTAATTTTCGATTTGGAAGAAGCGATTTTGCTCCAAATACACAGAGTAGGACATGGCATTCGGCGTGTCTCTAAAAGTGAGCGGCATCCAGTTCGCCCGTGAGGACCCGATGATCTCAGAGGGAGAGCGACGTTAACACATCTCTCCGGGTCTTTGTCGTTAACTTTATGAAGAGATAGTATAAATCTAATGTCGCATCGGTCGACTTCTATATGCGCGCCATTCAATTAGCGTCGTTTTGCGGGCACATTCCTTCTGATTATGCTGAAGTCTTATTCAAAAGCAAGGCAAGAGAAATCATTTCGCATGTCAACGTGGCCCTAAATGGAAATAAGAGTATAATTCGAAAGAATTTATTTTTGCGGGATATTGCTCGGATGTCGTATGAATACGTGATAACTGGGAAGCGAAACTGATCTGAGAAGAGAAAGCAAGATAAAACGAGAGAATAAAAGATAGTGAGAATTCTCTCGTTCCACAATAGACTTTCCCCTATTCAACGTAATTTGAGGGATATAAATTTGGCTTCGGGTACGGGCTTGTCACCGTTGTCCGATTCAGTGCGCCTGGTCACATGTCTTCTACCTTCTGCCGAGTGTGTTGAAGAACGTAAGCGTTTGGCGCAAAAGAAAATGATGGCAATATACCACTGGTCACATGGTAAGTGTATATTTTAATTAAACTGTTATACTTCGTAGTCATTTTCCATAACAACAATGACATTGTCGCGGGTACATTAACGCTTTGAGACATTTTATCGAATATTTATATATTTCAAATCACTCCGTTGAGCATATTGAACTGAAAATTGAATATTATTATGATTTCATTGTTCACGCAAAATCACTTTCCGACTTGTCGGCGAAATTGTCAATATTATACGCAACAAAATTTGTTTAGACGAAAGTAATTGATTTCGTATAATATGCGCGTACCAGCTGGCGTTTTATGCCGTGCCAAACGACCGACGCGTTTCAGATTTCCTGTTTTACATCATAGTACGTGATATAGCCCAAAAAATAAATTTAGTTAGGTTTAAAATAATATGCAATTTTTCAGAATCAAAATCACAAAATTCGCTGTAGACGGCAAAGGAATTATTTCTACTTTGCCTTTGCTCTAGCTATTGTAGATGCAGTTGCTTGGCTTGATTTGTACGCCACCAACCTTTAATTTGCATGAAAATTTGAAAAAATAAGTAATTGATGATATAATCTATCTTTTACTTTTTTAAATTTTTTAAAAAATTCAGTACAATTTTCTTCAAATCAACATATGAAAATAACAATGTATTAAAAATAATACAGTTGGGGTATGTCGAATAAAACATAAGACCACGGTGTTTCAGTCAAAAAGTACAGATAATGCCATCCGACTACAATATAACTATGCTACTTTTCTTTATGTTTAAGTTGAAACAGTTTTCGAAATATTAATTGTAAATTACCTTCCTGCTATATATATATAAGATTATTTATACAGCGATATAAGCGATTGAAAATTCATGATAGCCTGAGGGACTGACCATCTTTGGCCAATACTCGAGAGAGAACAGTTTGTTCAATCAGGAATTGAATTTTGTGTAAAATTATAGATGACAGGTGGTAGTGCCTATTATTTACTGTTTTGTACAATGCATGCTGGGTTACTGAGTGGTCTTGGGATAACTCGGTTACTATATTTAAACCGAGTAACCAAGCTTCGCAAATATTTAGTTTAATGCTTGTGTATTAACAAACTAATCAATTCCATTCTCAGTTTTTCGTCAAAACTTATTTTATGTAAGACAAAAACGATATAATTAGGGAAAATTGAATGAAGTGATTGATATAGATAAAATGTTCGATGCACGACACAGGGTAGGTCATGCAAATGGGGATTGGTGCCATGTAACCATCCCACATCTAACTAATTGTCAATGACGCGCTATTGAAATGTATTAAAACGAGTGGGAAAATTTGACAGCATGATATCGGAAGATGCAATAATAATATGTAAAGTAGGGGAATTTACGCTAAGGTTCTGGTCCGAATCAAATTACTCAATTACGCAATTTTACGTCGATCCGAATAGAAGTCGGTCAGATTGATTTGAAGCGCCTGTACTTCGGTGACAAGCAAGCATTCTCCATACCTTATTCCAGTTACGCGCCACCACAGATTATATTAGTTAAACACGCTAATTTATGGTTTGTATTACATTGAAATATACAATCGTTTTACATTTAAATAACCAAATAGTTGTTTCGACCAGTGAAAGCCACCACACATCCTGCCACTGTTCATTCTCTGATTTTGTCACTTGGGGAATGCACACATGCACAAATGGAAGAACAATTGTGCGGCTGCGTGATTGTTCCGCGTTCAAATGCGACCGACTTCCCGCATGTGAGGAAGCCACCAAATTCATAGAAGCCCGCATTGATATTTGATGCAACGAAGTAGAAATAAGTATGTTTCAACATTATACTCGTGTATTCATTCCCTCCAAAATAAAAATTGATATACGTTTGTCGTTCGTGTAAAACCATTGAGTTCACGTTTCCCTTTGGCGGTTAACGCTTTTGTGTGTGCATTTTTTCTGATTCATGAAAATCCATTGTAGGAAATAAAAATGATTTATCGAATTTCGCTGAATTCCCGGTGTTTGTGTGGCTATTTGTCTTCAGAAATGACAGCGGGCTATATTCATTGTGAATATAATATTTGAATGCAGCAGTTTCGTATAGGTATTCCGCTGCTACGCAGATACTATATAATGAAAACGAGCCAACGCATGGCAATTTTCAAGACCAGAATTCCCCTGACAGGACAGATATTCGTTATAAGAATGAACAAAATGTTGATTTTCGATTTTAACACGAATTCCGATTGCTGTAAATGGTCGATAGGATTTATTTAGAAAATTATTACAACGACTAGTATTTGCCAATAAATGTTAAGGGTTCGAACACCAGGAAAAAATACATATTTGAATGCTGTAGCACACAGTCCATTGTTCACTCGATCCCTGTCGCTAAATTGGTATTAAAAACACCTAATTTCGCAATCTATTTTAGATGGCACCGACAAGCGTCGATGCTCGTGTGTATGCCCATTTTTTAATAAAAAATGAGTACAATAAGAGCGTGAACAATCGAAATGATATTTGAATTTGTGCTGGCCAATTTCAGTAATTGCCATCGGCTTTCCGCTATGAATCGCTTACGGTCACAAACGTGAAGAAAATATATTAATTCATAAAATACTGTTTAGGTAATTTCAAAACCTGGCATAATTGTCACTTTTGCGTTGCGCGGTGACAAACGGACACATGGTAACTGTACTTGAAAATCCTTCCGAACATATGGCAAACGCGTTGCCTATCAGCTGTCGTCATTTTGCTCTTCGCTGTATATAGTTTCTTTTTCGATATCCTCCATTATTATACCGACGAGGCGTTAGCCGTTTGGCAGAATCGGTTCGATATAACGATCCGTTCGACCAGGGTTAGCAGTTGCTCAGCGACGGTAAAAACAAGGTACAACCGGGTCCAATTGATAGTCAATTTTGACTACGTAGCCCATTGCTTAGCAGATGCCGATTTTCCACGATGCCGGGTTTTCGTGCATTTATTCGTTGAATACTAAATAGGTGATAATCAGATTGACGACGAAATTTTTTAAAAGTTAGATTTTTTGGCCTATAGTAGCCATAATTGCAACATTTCTGGTTTTATTCAGTTTTCGGATATTTGTTGATATGGCTTCTGCCCTCCCCAATTCGAAGGGGGTTTTCAAAATAACAAATTTATCAAGGGTAATTATCTTTGAAAAAAGCAGATTCGCGTTTATTGCATTGAAAACAAAGGGCTTAATCTAGGGCTGACTCCATAAAACAATTTTGTAACGTTTACCTTCACTTTATTGATCAATTCATATTTTGTAGCCAGCGTTATAAAGTTTTATTGTGCATTCGCTTGGTATTAAATTTTGAATTGTAACATAGATTTTACGATATTATTCGATTCCTAAAAATCAGTCCATTTTACTCTATTGCGTCGTTTACAAATATAAGAGCGCGCGGACTTTGCCCCTGTAATGGTGTATTTGCTGGGTGACCAATCAACTCATAAGATTGTTTTACTTCTCGAATTTACTCCTAGGCGGACGTACCTAAATTTTCTCGTGTTGAATAGTAGTATTTGTATGTTCGTTTTCGTTCTTGTTAACATGCTATCGGATGAATTTGGCACCATGACGATCCACTGTGCCGCGTTGCTACGATCAAAAGATCTGAATGCCGCGGATTATATACAAGCGGATTGACATGGTGTCGAAGACATAATGTGGCACTATCTTCAAAACACCCCCAAACAGAATAGCATTGTGGCAAACTTCAACAAAATATACACATAGGATCGAAGCACAGGAAAAAACACATATGTTGCGATAAGGGATTTGACTGCTCAAAGAAATAATTGAGTTTGACACGTTTCGTGTTGCGACATTTAATAACCTTATAGTTTCTACAAAGTCAAGACCAAGACCGGGTGTAACTTTTCACCCATATCTCCAGACGGCCACTTAAACGCAAGGCATGTTTGACATAGTAATAAATGAAGTGAATACTGAAGCTAAGTTATAATGACGCATGTTTATCTAAATGCGACACTGCGACGCCAATAAAATCACGAATGTTAAACCCTTGGCGAGACTAAATTACATTGACTGCTGGTATCAGCTACTGTTGTGTCAGTTGTTGCTCGTTTAGTCACACTCGCGAAGCCGGTATACAAGCCATTCTTCAAGGAATTCCATTCATTGTTTCATCGCACATTAGAAAAATGAAAGCTAAACGCAACGTCAATCGTGCTAATCACTCTCCGGGGAGAAATTTAAATCGCTTTAAAGTTATAATAATATACTCGCATTTGGCAGATGCCTAAGCCACACCGTCATTAAACGGTTGACTGGTTATGTCCTTCGTCTTCAATTTGAGAAGCCCATCAAACAGATGTCATTAAATGGATAGTACTGATCGACCATAACTTAATTATGATCGTAGACTTAAAAAATATGGATGCTTTATATATTTTTGCGTGTGCCACATTGCTAATTACACCACTATACATATATAAATACATCATGAGTATATCTGGATGTCTTGGTCAAACATGGTCTATTCAAATTGGATTTGACTACAGTAAACATGAAATATTGGTCGAAAGATCGATTGGTTTAGTATAAACATCTTTATTATTTGGGTAATGCTGTAGAATTCGACGGCAGCCAGACAGTTGCGCTTCGGTTATTTAATAGACAACGTTTTTTGTAATATCACCATTGTGGTCATTATGCTGAGTAAATAATTTTTAGAAATAATAAAGAAAAACAATATTTGATTTTTTATCATATTTTTTCCTGCTAAAAGTGTGTTTTGATTTAGGTGACAATAAGAAAATGCTGTGTGATAATCATTCCAATATGAGTATATATTTATTATTGATTAATTGGGCGGCAAATTGCGAATGAAATTTTCACAAGCTATGTTGCAAAACTTTGAAATATTCTGTTTTATTTACTTTTCGATTAGCACACCACACATGCTTTTTAAAGAAACCCCCTAGTGTGTTTGATTTATCAATCGATTAAATTGAGCGACACAACAAGCATGAACAAACATGTGGTTCGAATACGTCATGGATTATGGGCAAAGTTAGAAAGTTCCGTTAAACCATGGTACATATATGCATATTTTAACATTTGTGACCTCTGATCATTGGTCACTATATAAGTTGTATGAGGACAATTTAAAAACTACTCCGTGATGTCACGGTTCGTGTTTGTCATGTGATAAAAAATCAACAGCCAGTGAAACTTCTTGAGCGTTTGGCAAATATTTTTATCGCTCACGTTGTATCGATGTTATTCTATTTATGGTGTCGTGGTGGGTAATGACGGCATCCTTCTGGCAAGTATAGACATGATATGCAGAGATGAATAAATGCGTGGTGTCCACAAAGTCTCACAAACAATTCATTAATAATTTTGACAGTGAATTATTCTGGTGTTGCAAGTTTTATATTTGGATCTCTCTCAGGCAAAGCAGAAAACTATTAGGCTTGCATTAATTTTGTTTAAATTGCATATAACATCCATTTTATAAACGAAACAACAACAATGGAAATGCACAGAGCATCGAAAATGTGCGAATATGCTTTTTATATTCATGCTCTTTCGAACGTCTTATGTAAATTAACAATTGAAATTGTTGTATAAAATTTCAGTACACGATTTTCCTGTACTACATCCTTTATCAATGAGTGCTGACGAAGCAGGGAATCTTATTCTGAAAGCATGAAAGAACCCAACGTTTCCAACATATGGACAATTGCTCAATGTAAAATGTCCAAATTGCGACTTCTGGTCGTTTATTCCTGCTTTAGTAAAAGGATTTTCTCAAAACGCCGTCTCGAACACACTAAACAATGAGTCTCTTGTGGACATCGGATGTTGAAAATGTGTTTGAAATGTGCGTGCTTTTAAACTAGTAAAAGCGGGCTTATGTTTTATACGTCCCGCAATCGTAAGCCTGAAATTAAACCCCAAAGCTCTGCTCTTCTCCTCGATCAAATTTGATTATTTCTATTTGAATAGTTTTCATCATAAAATATTTGAAATCCACATCAATAATTTGCTACCAAATACATTCCAATTCCTCGATTTTATAATAACTGAATCCTTAAAATGATACATTTAATGCAATGAATATAAATTTACGTCTTCACAGCGATATTGAAACGCTTTCGAAATATTTTTCGTTGTTGATTAGGCCTTTTTCGAAATCAATATAAAATTTGATGTTGGATGGAATTTGTTCATGAATCCAACATGGGGGGCAGATACCCAGCAACTAATCAAACTGGCGTCGTTTAATAATTTACCAAGTGGCACATGCTTCGTTATACCCTGCAGCATGGTATGTTAAAGTATCTAATTAGTGAGGGGGCGATTCTAGAAAGTCCCTGTACTTTAACTACAGCCAGTTATCGTTATCGCCTGTTATCTGTATGTGACGAAAAAATTAATAAGTTATCGCATATACACGTTGCAATTATGTAAGTAAACATCACGTCTAAAGTCACGTCTAATAGTTATGTTCCAACTTTTGGCCCGACTTTATTTTTTTATTCGTTTTAAGCGTTGATAAACCTAACAAAGTTTTTATTTTTGCGTATACTTGTGTCTTACCATAATTATATTAAAAAAAAATACATTATTTAATTGAAAAGCTAGAACACTGAAATCGGTGCTCCCGAAGTATGCGAACCAAGATGGCGGACATCGGAACGTAACATGGGTAACAGGTTCGTGTTAGGCGATAATTTTTTCCAATTTTCTTTATTTTAGTCCTATTATCAGTTCGAAGACTAGCCAAAAGCCTCCCGTAGTATTTATACCTAAAATTATGGCCTAACCCTAACCTAGTACACATATTACATTCCGATGTCCGCCATCTTGGTTCGCATACTTCGGGAGCCCCCTGAAATCTTTAATATGAGGTTACTATGAGAAACAGGTTAAAGATTTTTTTCCACCACATAAATAGTGTTCGCGACAAAGCTTCCATTTAAGAGCTTTAATATTTGAGCTTCCATTTAATAAAAATTGCGATGTCACCGACTTGGATGGCCATTCTCCCACATAAATCATTTAATTCATTTGTCACTTTGGTTTTCAACCAACAAATGCGAATTTGCATATTACAAATTTCACCATCACTGGTAAGACTAAAGTCAAACAATATGGTGAGACAGTGATAAAATTCAATAAATTCAACACAAATTCAGATGTTTATGGAAATGCTGGTTTCATTATTTGGACTTGCAACAGTGGCGCGGTGCACGTATCCCATTGTTACTAAGAAAAACGCCATCTCAATTAAATATAGAAAAAGTTTTAGTGAATCAATTTTATTTTCAATATGTGTAGTTTGTTCTATATATTTCTTTGTGTTTTTAGCAACGTGGTATAGAAACAAGTTGTAATGTAACATGATTTTAATCGAAGGATACTTTTTTTTTTTTTCAGTATAGTTTCCAGCACAATGATGTCTAGTATACTTTTGTGAATTTATTTTGGTTCAATAACTTTCTTAGCGATAGATAGATCAAAGTTAATTTGTATAATTTACGAAGAAAACTTTTGTTAAAGTTGCGATAGCTTATTTCACCAAAACTATTAATATGAAATGAAAAATCGATATCTATACTGTAAAGGCGTTAGTTAGTTAGTTATAAGTTTCCGTGGAAATTCGAATGGTGTTCGTAATTAAGACTGCATGCAATGTTCATGGCAAGAAATGAATTTTTTTTTTCAAATGTGGTAATAGACAATAAGTTTCGCTTTCTTACATACGCGAGGAACCCAATATCCGGTCAACAATTTCGATAAATTTGCAATAGAATGCTTCAAAATATTCTCAACTCAAATAAGTTGGCTTCATTGAAGTTTTGCGACTGATCTAAATATATTCATGTGAAAGATAGTTACAACATTCGTTGGCAAGATACTCAGTTCATTCATTGAACAAAACGACATGGTTGATCGCTAGAGTGTGGTTGTTCGCGGTAATTGACTGGGTTTATACCTGCACTCTCTTAATGATTTCAGGTGTTTACTTTTTGAGCCACCCATAAACCACTTATTGTCAAATGTAACAGATATGATAAATGCGATATTTCATTCATTTTCTGCGGAATGTTATATAAGGATATATGTGAACATTTATTCTCCTGAATGAATAATTGTAATTATACTTTTGTTTCACTTTCACTTTGTTGTATGTTTACTGACACGTGTTGCTTAAAAATGGCGCCAAAACCGAGCAGGCGTGTCATCACACATTTATTTTGTCACAACCAATATTCGAGGGTGATGAATTTTTAGACTCTGTTTTCGGAAAAGGTCGATTTTATATTGCGCTAACACTTCATCTCATGGATAGACAATTCATAAAAGAATTTATGAATTTATTTGATGAATGCCTGCGCAATCATAGTGGTTAACACCCACATGTAAAATTTGCTCTTATGTGTGATTTTCGATCCTCGGTTTACAAAACAAGTAACAGAGATATTTATGGAAACTGGAAAGGTCGTATCAATATAATAAACTAGTTATATCATTTCAGCTTGGAACGACGCCAAACACAACTACGATCCAAGACAACACCCAAGCTAACCATGCTGCGGCCTCAAGAAATGAAAAGCTTACTGAAAAGGCTAAAGATTGTGATTGGATGACCGAAAAAGAGAGAAAAACTGTGATCAGTTTACAAGTAACAGGAAAAAATTTGACGGTACGACATAGATTATATTTTGGTTTAACATTCAGAATATTTTCGTGTTTTTAATTCATTTAAAGTTTTGCTTTGCTTATAAACATACCATGGCGTAGATTCCATTTCCAGTCTCTTCTTTAAAATGTGTGCGCTGTTTTTGTGAGAAGATTCACTATTCACAATTCCAATCAGATTGAAAATAAATTATTCTGCATATATTGAAATACTTTTGACGCGCCCTTCAAAAGAAATGGCCGTATCTGGATGAAAATCTAGAATAAATTTTTCTATAAAGGTCGGGCTTATCTAACCGGAAGAATATCCTCTCTTCTTCCTAACCAATGTTCAGATGGCGTACTACGATGCTTATTATTGCACACAGAAGTTGTGGACGTTATATTAGGACCTGAACCGTAAATTATTTCCGGAAAAAGCGATTGCCATTTACTTGATTGGCTTGTGTCATTGGCTTGTTTTTATCAAGTATCATTTATCAAGTATTAATCCTTTAAAATCGTCTTATTGTTGATAATTTATTATGAACTACTGAGCATACATGTCGTATATGACATATATATACATATATATATGGCATTTCTGATCCAAGCCCATGGATCATATTGAAAGATTTTGATTCCGAAGTTCTGAAAGCATGACTTAGTTTTCCGGATTGAATAATAAAAAGTTTGAGGTTCAGTGGTGCGCTTTTGTTTTTCTCTCTAACCATACTTTTGCATCAATTTGTTGTATATGGCGTTTGGTCCAAGTGCTTGAAGTGGCTTTCCAAAAATCTCGCCATTCTTCAAGCAGCCAGTTTTCCAAACAGAAGACGTTAACAAAAAACACTACCAGGTTGTGTTGCATTCGCAATATGAAAACGCCTGTTACAGTTACCAAAACTAAACATTGGATATTCTCTGCTCGAAATCTTAAAAACGTTAAATAAATTTCAAAATCTGAAAACAAAGTTTTATAGTGTTCCAGTCGAAGGAAACGAAATACATCGCATCGCAAAGGTCGAACCTGATAAAAAACACGTGATATCGATTGCTCTTTTGCGAATCCTTTACTTGTCGAAAATACCATCAATATTTTATGCGGAAATCTGCAAATGGTTGGAACCATTACCTCAGCCATATCACCTATCGCTTAATAGATCTTCGACGTCGCGCTGGGATACTATTACGTATTCAAATTATCAAAAGCCAAGCATGGTCAAAGCGCGAACTAACCAACTTTAAACTTGAACTAAACAATTCGCATGCGGCCATTGGTATAGACAGGATTATGTTTCTTTTCAAAATCCCATACGTCTACCAGATGACGTATTTTTCTAAATATTTTCCCATAGAATATTTAACTAGATTTCTACGTGGTACCCAAATCAACGTTGATTTGCGGTCTTGGTAGTCGATAATCCAAGCCAGAGTCATTTATTCGGAAATTTTCCTACATCCAACTTGAAGGTTACCAACAAATTAGGAATTCGATTCATTTGATAGGGCCCCGATCTATAATAATGAGGGAACAACGCGCTTTTTTCTGGTTGAAATTAACTAAAGAAAAATCAATATGAAAAAAACGACCCAGTCATTCTCTGTTTTATTTACTCTGTTTAGCATAACCCACCATTCTAGTTACGAGGGTGGCGACTCTTAACTAATTTGCGAGGTCGACAGCTTTCCTCTTCCACCTCGCCAATCGGTTGTGCTCGTTCGATTGGCAGAAAAGGCAATTCTGTTCTGCGTCTTGGCGTAAAAAGATATAAAAGTCTTGCCAAACTGGGACATTATCCTTTATAAACAGTAACCACGTACATATTTTGTAGTGTCCACTGAACAGCATTAATATTTTTGACGACAGGTGGAAAGATGGTTCGCAGAGGCCGACGCCGAATTCCGACGTGGTATCGCTCAATGTCTTACGTCCACAGTGGATCTCAATATCACATTCTCAGGAGAAGATTTAGCTTATGTCAAACCATCACCCAAAGATTTAGAAGACGACACTTTGCAGATATATGTGTTTCTTCGAAATGGAAAGATAGTAGATATGGAAAAACGAATTAAAGGTAATAAAGTCCTCGTTAGTGATAATAAGTTGCTGCCAGGAATTGGTTGACATCAAAAAGCTTATGCCCAATTACTTATGATATGCGTGTAACGAGTGTACGATTCTGTGACGTAGATTTTAATCAAATACTAACTATTGTTGGATTCTCTTTTATATTATTTCTACTGATACCATTAGGCGAGCAGGTCAGAAGTTGGTATCACATTGTAAATATATATTAGCAAAAAATATTTTCGAAATTTATATTGTTTACCTCGTTATGTGTGTCCCACTACAAGTCTAACCTACCTGTTTCATATTTACAGTGTCGAACGAAACAGATGAAACTGCACGGTCTCTCATGAAACTTGGCGTCATTCAAGCAATTAAATTAAATGTTTCAAAGGTAAAACCACAGTGTATTCTCAAATATATGAACACAAAAGTCCAATGTTCAATCGTATATTAAGTACGTATTCACTCAAATCCGATCATTCAAAACTTCAAATCAAAAGTGCAGTTCAAGTCCCACCGACGGGACAATTCTCTACGGTACCGGTAAGATCGTAGCTGAACAGTGAGCACTGGCTTTGTCAAAGAGGTCTTACTCATTGTCACGTGTTTGGAGAAATAGCATAACTTCGGGTGAACTATTTATCCACATAAAATCACGAGAAATTTTGGAAAATATAAAACAATCTAGCGGCTCGATCATATTCATATGGGCTACTAAAAATATTTGACTTAAGGCTAGCACCTACTTCTTTATATATACGTGTACTTTATATGTGAATTAAATGGAAATCAGAGGTCTACTCAAACAAGACAGCAAACCATTGCCTTTTTAGCGTAGAATATGAGTAAATATGGATTTTTATTCTACAGAGTATATACGATGCTGTCGAGGAATCGGTTACTAACGGCCTTCCCTGGCCAGACTGTAATTCGCTCTTCACAGAGTATCTGTATCTATGGATCACTCTTGCTGTTCTCGTTATTTTGTTGATCATCGGATCGGCTGTTTTGACCTGGTACTGCTGGAGAAGAGGAAAAAGCGTTGAGTTGAAGGTGAACATTGATGAAAAATATAATACTTATTTGCTCTAAAGTGTCATCGTAGGAGACTTTGATGTATATACCGTCACACAATATCTGGCTTAGAAAATAAAAGTAGTGTTGCTAGGGTCAATGCCCGTTTCGCTTTTAACGGTAATGTTCAATGGGGGGCCTGTACATCAGTGAAATCGTACGAGTTATATTGAGGAAAAACATTACACTATTGGTTGTTTTCATTCAATTCCAATTTGAATATAACGAATCAATATTCGGTAAAGTGAAAGCTTGCGCTTTTACGGAGCAATTTACCTACAAAATTTAATTTCCGCTTCATCATTGAGACATTCTTGTGAAAAATAGTCTTCCACACGCGAGCACTACTTGATCCTAAAGCAAAATGCGCTTATTAGGCAAAGTAAAAGTAAATACCATAGCGTTAAACAGCGATATGTCTTTTTATTATTGGAGAATGGGCGAATTTCGCTGTTTCTAAACACGCTGTAGCGATTTATTTTGATTTTCTGATCTTTTATGGACTGGTAGTGATTATACCTTTGGGCCAAATGTGATCTTGTGACTGAGGTTCAGCTTCCAAATGCTTGGTTATTTCGAAGTTGTTATTTATCTCCAGATTACACTTGCCGAAGTGATAACCTCCGTAAAATTTGGTGTTAAAATAACACTCGGCAAAGCATGGACGACATGAGATAATTTGAGTGCTGGGAACAGAAAAACGAATTTCCATTTTCATTTTAGCGGTGAGCCGCAGCTGATAGGCATGAAAAATCTAATTTGAAATTTAACGAGATTAATCGACGAACTGCCCTCTTATTTTCAATTCCTCTTAGTCGAATCCGGATTTAGGGATCGGCACTAATTCCATTTGTTTGACGTGTGAACAAAATTAGCTATGTTTTATTTGTTTAAATATAAAATAGAATTTTACGACCCATAGTGTGAGGTTCACGGACTTTCGGCGATGTTTTATGTGTCTCAAATTCAAAAACAAACCCAGGTTTCAGTGCGCTCATGCCTGTTCCGAAATTCCGGTTGTAACCAGAAAAGACAAACAAATTTTGTAAAGGTAAATTTGAAAGTACACTTCGCCGGACAACACGAATATACAGTTTAAATTGCTTTTCATTTGTATTAAAATTCGCGGCTAGGCCTACGAATATTCGTTTCGATGGCCTGCAGTTGTCCGCTAGATTATTTAGAGCTGTGTTTTTCAATTCTATTTTCCATGTTGCGCAATGTTGATTCTTGCGTGTCACCAATCCTGAACGGTCCACACCCAAGGGACCCTTGCATAATTTATAGGTTGCTAGACATCGAACCCTCCCTTCTCTATTCCATACTGGTTTCTTTGTGGCTGGGTGGTTTCCAATGTCCTCATTACTTTTTATATTTTGTTTTCCACCCCCATTTTGTCTCGCGGGAAATAAATAGTCACGGAAGGTACGCACTGCTTTTAATGCGATCGATGTTTAATAGAATCTGAAAAAATGAATCGATTTTTGTGTCTGTGCACTGAGTCGGATATTGATTGACTTATCTGGTTCGGCCGTTAGTCACCATAATTCCGTTCAAACCTATTTGATAAATTAGATTTGATTTCTAAATCATCATTCGACACTCATATCAGATTATTCTTAGCTATTTGACACGTAGGCTAAATATCTATGATATGGCGAAGACGAAGTCAAATAAAAATCGTCTTGTCACCGGTTTACCTTCTTTACGTATCGACATTATTCACAATTATTCACAATATAATTTTCTGCTGTATACCCACGAGCCACGAACCCAGCAATTGTGGTTGACTGATTAAGCTGACTAGAATTTCAGTACCAGAAACATATCATATTATTTGACTTACAGACACACAAAGGAATCTCTTTACCGACTACAGACGAACTTTGCTGTACGGAAGTGGTCACCATATCCGGGCATGACAATCCTGCAATGGACATCAACGGTGAAGAACAGAGTCCGCCGAAGAAGAAGCAGGCTCCGTTGCCTCCGACTCCGGAGATGACGACATTCGGTAAAACAACCGAAACCGCGGCGGTCACCGAATACGAGACCGCCATCGCGCCGTACGAGCTCGAAACGTCTTCTGAGTGTTCGGTACCTCAGGACAGGGATCCATCGAATGGCGTAGAACTACAGGACACAAAATTTTGATCGTCGTTATTGTGACATTTACTAAAGAAAACTACCACATAGGCCTAACATTTTTGCTGACAAACATGAATCGTTTATGGTCATCAAGTGCAGTTTCATCATAATTAATTCTGTATAATGCATCTACGCATCATGATGGTTTGATATTTTTGACTACTTGCCTCAAATATTTATAGTTTCAAGGGAATGAATGGACAAAGTGTATCGAATAATTTGTACATACCTTAGTAATTTTCATAAGCCTTACTGGCAAACAAGAGCGTCCATATTTTTGCGATTGCAAGCAACGTTTTTACCTCGGACTGCTACCTCTACGCTTGTCGTTTATGCCAAATTTCTTTGTGGACCAGTAATTTTTGTAATTTCTCACTAACCCATGTACATAGTGTGTTTTGTAGTTTTTACTAACATTTTTACTTGTGTGATGCTATGGCCACAGCGCGGGGTTATTCCGTTTAGGCACAATAAACCTCGTGTGTGCTTTGATACTGGGTCGTCACAAATTGCATGTTGCCAAAAATTGAAAATAAAAGATTTCATGAAACTTGATATGTTTGTAAAGCGTGCTGATCGACACGAAAGGAAAGCTTCAATGTGATCAGACTAACAATATGAAGCCGAAGTGATGAATTTAAGCTTTGCATTCAAATATGGTCTAGGACAGCCACGTCCCAAATGCCTTCCAGGGCGCAAATTACATTTCAGTTTTGCCACGGGCCGCACACATAATTTATACACTACGATTTACAGTTTAATTTAGTGAAAAAATGGTGAGTGGTTTTACGCAGTAATAAGATATAGCCAGCATAGAAGTTTTTCCGGGTATGGCGAAACCTGATTGTGAAAGTCATTTCAATATTTTTTGGTTTTTCGTTCCAGACATACCAGGTCCCTCGATCCTGTAGTAGCATCAAGCTTTTCTTATGCTTCGGTCGCGTGAATTTGATGTAATATTGCGTCACGATGGTACAATAAACAAGAATGTTTGTTTATCGGAGATACGTAGGGGTGTAGCAATAAATTTTACTGCGAACGGACATCGCTGGTCTAAGATAGCTCGTCACATTAACCAAGCAGGTGACGGTATCCGCCACGAGTAAGACAAGGCGTATGCAGTGGTACGTTTCAATATTGTACGTCGATGGTTGACAATTTCGTCGAAGCCATACGGTGTTTGGATAGTAAAACTGTGGGTAGATTTTTTTCTCAATTTGATTGTGCATATTGAACTGGCAAGAAACCCCCCTTCAAGCGATTGGGACGTGTCAAATGACGACAGAGCATTTAATTCCAACCTAACGATCTCCCAGAAAGCGTGCCATTTCTCGACCATTATCTCGGCGGTATGCCGCACTGTGCTAGGCGTTTGGGTTACGCTTGCCGTAGCACCTTTGATCATCCTGCGTTCGCTGGACTCCTTGCCACCGTCCGGTGGTCCACCAGCTAGCTTGTTCATAGCCACGGCTGACAAATTTTACGATTGTAACGAATTTTATTTGGAAGAAAGCAGTAGAAAAGTATAAATATCATATTAAAATGGCAGTGGTTCATTTGCAACGAACATATTACAGGTGAAAAAAAATTGCGCCTGCATGTACGCAGTATTTTGCCAAACAGTCTCAAGGTTGGCTTTTCGTTCAGTTTGATCGCGATAGTGAAAGACTTCTCCAAAGCACGTCATAAACAGCAAAAGGCTCAACTCCGGATATTTCCAACCACAAAAGAAAAATTCTTTGGGTGACTATTTTATTAATGGCCCACCCTACTAAAATTCTGCAAGACGATACTGCGCGAGCCTAAAATTGAATTCCGCTTTTACTTTTAAAATCAGTAGGATTTCAGACCAGTGGAGTACATTTGATTGACCTATGAACTATTACCATATGATAAAATTCCATTTCATTCTTAATCAAGCGAGAACAAACATTTTATCGAAGTGCCTAAAACAGTTTCTCTGCATGACTTCATACCGATGATCAGAAACAGTAATGGTAATCCTTATCATCTGTGACGCGAATGTTTTGCCATTGTTGGAACTCTCAACTAATATCTCTTTATCTCAAATTCGTCTTCTAGAATCCATAATATATTGATGCCAGAAGCACCTAAGTTGACTTGTCTGTATAGATGATGATATATTAGTTAAAAAAAGGGAAAAAAGTTAGAAAATCTCAAGCTATAGTCTACAGCCCGGGTGGGCAACGCTTTTGAACTGGGGGCCAAAAAATTCGCCTCGTACCAAAACTAAATTTAATCGCAATCTCAACAAACTCCTTGAAGTATTTTTAGCCAAAACATCAAATTTTGGTTTTAGTTTGGTTGTGCCAGCATCAGGCGGGCCAGATTAAATGACCCAATGGGCCGGATTTGGCTCGCGGGCTGTAGTTTTCTCATGTCAGGTATACAGCCTATAAACCATTCTACAACTGTTCAATATGTTTGCAATGCAATCAAATGTTTTTGAGATAGAGTCATAGTGAATAAGAGCAAGCATCATCAGAATAAGTCAGAATGAAATCCCATTGAAGACATCCTGAAAAACATGAAAATAAAGCTTACCCTAACATTCCATCTTTCTTTTCTTTAACATCATGTAAAAACAATAACAAAGCATGAAAAATGTTGTTTCTGCCCTGCAAAAATAGAAACGTGGATAGAATCAACACATGAAGGGAATGAATTCAAATACATTATTGATTTAGAATTCATACATATCATTACTATTAGATTCTTTGGAAAAAGGTTTAAATATTATTCTGTTCCAAACAGTTTGAATGACATTTTGTCCATGGTGTATGTACTATACTCGTACGCTAATTCTAATATTTTCGGCTTGAAGATGTCTTCACTTCTATGAAGTTAGAGACAACACTAAGTTGCAGTAGTAAAAATATTCATTGGGCCTGTTCAACAATACCCATTTCTAATCCTCATATTTACCCAATAAACTGGTGATAATATAAGGCATCTAGGAACTTCCAAGAAATACATTTTACCACATTTCTTCTATGGCAAAAATTATCCATCTAAAACAGGGGTTCCCAAACTCGATTGACCGCGGGCCAGAATGTGAAGCTAAAGGATATTCGCGGGCCAGGAGAGAGAATCGGCCAAAGGCCCAAAAGGGCGGGACGTTACTTTCGGCTGGGGTTCAGAGAAACTTGCAATATAGGCACTAAAAAAGGCTGCAAGCTTGATTTTAGATACACCTAGCATCGCAGTTTGGTAATAGTTAGGTGATGAAATAGCCGAGGAATAACAAGCAAAACTTTTAACAAGGAATTTCAATTTACAACTGATAGCAACTAATGAATTTACTTGCTCATACGGCCTCGTATAAATGGCTACTTATGGTTTGTTTTGTTACACAAAAATCACCCGAATGTATATGAATATAAAAAAAAACGAGATGCCGACATATTTTAGTTGTGTGTTTTTGTATATGTTACGTGTAATTGGTGTTTGCTCGAAATCAGATGTTCAGACCGTGGCTCCAATTTGGTACATTGTATTTGCAATACCGCATTCAAGTGATAATCTGTCAGTCTGGACCGAAGATTAGGAATAGTTTCTTGGCCAAGAAGACAAATCGCTGAAGTTTGATTCTCAATAAAGAAATACAAAAATCGTCTGTTTTTAGTGTCTAGTTTTGCGTTTTTTGACATCTTTTGGATTTTTTAATACAGGACTGACAACTAAAATACTGCGTATGTCATTATAATACCAATTGCCAACTGTGATAATGACGTAACAATTGGGGGTATCTAGAACCCAAAATGTAAACACATAAAGTTTTATCCAATTAAAAAAAAGAGTCCAGCTGCATACTAACACAAATGTATTTCTGTAACATTTCGTCCGAACAGAGTCAGACTTCCTCAGATAAGCAGTTTACAACGAAAGTTGTACGACCATAAAATTTTAAACGTATTAGTATTCATTTACGGTTGAACCTCTTTCACTTAAGATCGGTGGGCCGTTTTAAAATGTTACGCGGGCCGTAATGGGCCCGCGGGGGGCGGTTTGGGAACCCCTGATCTAAAATGATAATGAAACTTACAGGAGGAACATTATAATCGGAGTCATGTCCAATAATTCGAAAATCAGGCGGATTTATTTTACTTTGATGAATTATGAATGCATCATCTGTCACTGGTTTGGGTTTATCTGGGGCCCTGACAAAATACTTTGATGAGAATGTTTTCCCATCTGGAAATCTGAAACAAAAGTACAATTTAAACACCAAGAAATACATCATCTGATAAGAAGACAGTTTCAACGATGAATCGCCAAGTCATCAATCAAGTTTCTAGTTGTAAATATTATACATGACATTATATAATTTTTTTTTATATGATGCATATTCACGGTTTTTGCTTCAACATGGACCTGTACAATCAACAATGATATGTCAGAAGGTACGATTTTAGGAAGGACCAGAATCTTCACGATTCGGTATTGTCGATCCAATTTATTACACCCAGAGTGAGGTAGTGGGCATGGTTCCTGAACTAAAGATCTGTAAGTTGGGATACCAACACAGTTTAGTTTAACGCTTTAACCGATAAGAATATGTTATTTCATATTCCTTCTTGCCAGCTAAAAAAGCTAAAAGTATGAACAAGAATGAAAAATGATGGTAATATGGCTAATATCGCTTGCTCAATTTCATTATTATCCTCTTACAAATCTCTTTGATGGAAAAGAAATCTGTGAATAAAAGGCCTGCAATGTTGAGGTAAAAATACCTTGGATCAGCAGGAAGATGAGAATCCATGTATACACAAAAAACATGCATTATGATCTCACAATCTGTAGGCATGTCATCAGCCCACTTTCGACCTTTGACTTCACCACCAGAATTCCACTTGAATTCGCTCATATACCCACCTGATGCAAGCCCTGTAATATTAAAGACAATTCAATCAGATTTTATTTCTTAATAAAATCCACTCAATGTCAAGACATTGCTATGTACTTATTGCAAAATGTTCATAGTGGGGGACTAGGAGTAATGTGATATGGTTGTCAAAAATGATGATAGAGCATTAGCAGGAAGGACAAGGTACATTATTTGATTAATTAATAAACAACAAGAGTTAGCGAGAACAGACTAACGCATGTGAAAATGTGGTTTTGAGTAGAATGATTATTAAATACCAATAGTAACTTCCTTAAATTATAAAAACCGCAGCATGCAATTGCAATCCTGACCACCACCATTGTATCACTCATAAAAAATGACAGTTTTACAAATAAAATTAAAATCAATTTTCACAGAATATGTACATTTGTGCAAAAGTCCATCCATTCCAATACCAACACTCGCAATTTTTCATAAATGATACAATGTCTGCAGTCAAGGATGAGAGCAATATAAGAAAGTGAGGATTGGTATGGAGCTCAAGCAAAACAAGGTATATGCACAATAGCTCGGTGCCATGAAACTTGGCATAAATTTTCTGAGAAATGACATTGGTAAATTCAGTATGTTTCTTGATTTGATAGATTTATCCTATTTAAGTTTGTCTGTACTGAATACCAGAAAAATAAAAAAAACATTTCCTTGCAATACTAACCTAAACCCATTGCCAACAAAATAATCAGAAATAGAAGATGGTAATAATTAAATACTAACTTTTCAATCTAGATATAAGATATTCTTGATTGCTTGTAACTTCCAAGTATGGTAGAAGCCGAATTAAATTAGGAATCTGAGCTCCTCTTGATGCAATTATTTGTTTTAAACTGGAGATACTGGACTCGCCGACCTGAGAAAGGAAAATAAAGAAATAAAATCTGCAAGTAGCAAAAACATTGATCTACTCTGAATATTTTGAATTGCAGTATGTATAATTGGATAAATGAAAAAAAAAATGACCTGTATCTCAGGACACCCAAGCTTTTTGAGACTGCTGTTTATTTTTTGAATTTCAGCAACAAGTTGCAGTAATAATGTAGCGGAAATCCATCTTCTAGTTCTTGCTGTCCATTCAGAGAGATCATCTGCAGTTATTCCATACTTCTTCCAATACTAAGTAAATTAAAACAACCTACTTTAGAAATTGAAAAACTAACTACAAAGAGCCCGAAACTTTTATCTTCTTGATAGTATTTTCAATTTATTACAAGCTTGTATGAGCTGACACTCGATTGGCAGTACACTCAACTGATGTAGCTGCGAAAAAAATTCAACCCTTTCTATGGCTAAGCGGTGTGGCGTATCGTGATAAACGTTAGGAATACGCTCGTCATCGCACCTCTGATTACCCTGTCTGGGTTCGCAGGTTCGAATACCATGCAAGGATAGGTGTGTGCGAGAAGATTGCTGGACTCCTTACCACCGTAGGGTGGTTTCCTTACGGTCTCCATCCACCAATAGTCCATGGCTACATGCGTCTGAAAACAAATAACTGGCCAACTAATCCCATACCCAAATGGACTGGTAACCGGACGAGAGGCCGTGGTTCACCATATGATTAAGCCGTCTTATCGGCTTTCCTCTTCCCCGGAACAAATATGTAAATCCTATCCTATGTGCCAGCCATTTATGAGGAAAGCTAATTGATATGGCAAGTGGGATCATATATCAATTCATAGTCCTGACTGAACACTGAATATCTACAACATGAAGAGACAAAAGGATAAACAAAATCGATCAATATATTCTCACCTCTAATGCCGCATATTTTGTTGCTGCATCTTTATCATCTTTCCGAGATGTTGTTGACTTAGGCGATGGTGTCGCCATCTTTGAATATAATTTAAAAAAATTAGGTCTGATTAACAATTTGTCACAAGCTTTAAACGTCACTAATATGATCCTTTGATATCTTTATTTACCTGATATACATTTTTTAACAACTCCTGACTTGTTTCCATAAAACTTGACTTTGAGAACCCCCACTTTCCAGCTGAACTATTGAATGAATTTTCCAAAGATACTAAGACAAAAGTGGAGTATAAAATTATTTAAAGTCGGAACACAGATTTTATTTTGGGCCGAACAGAAATGAATACCTATGGCCAGGAATGAAAAAATATACTAATAGAACAGTTAACAACTATGTAAGTATGGAAACAATAAGATTTTGATACAGTAAGTAAATCAAAAAAATATGTCAAATGGCAGGATTTCGAGTACTGAGAACGTTTAAAATATTTTTATTCAAAAAAAACTGCCATTTTGAGCCATGTTATTAAAAACTGGAACATTAGGTGTATGAAACTATAGACAAAGGCTAACTGATGTCTGCATAATGGCCTAGCTGTATGTGGTTTTGAACCATTTTCATTAAAATTCCATCATTCGCCTTTTTGGAGCTCTCAATTATCCCTTACCATATAGAAAAAGTACTTTATTTATTCCATTTTATGCATAGATTCTGAGATAATGTCATGCGCAAGTCGCACTCCCATTTTTTTTAGAGTTAAGGTACTGCGTTTCCCTGAAAGTAAGACCTAGCCTGAATTTTAAAAAGGATTTGAATTTACGGTAAGCCCTCCCCTTAAAATAAGACCTAGTCAAAACCGCGAAAAAAATATTTTGACCTAGTCGATAGCAAGAAATCTCTCTACACGTTTTAAATGATTGATAATCTATGTTTTGCAGTTATTTTGAATAAAAACGTGTTATTTATAAGTAAATAGATATCAATTTTCATATTATGCAAATTTGAAAATCTCGTAATTCTCTACTATGTAATTCTGTTTTTAATAAATAAAAATATAAGACGTCCCCCGAAAATAAGCCCTAGTGTTATTTTTTGGAAGAAAATTGAAACAAGACCCAGTCTTATTTTCGGGTTAACATGATAGTTAGTAATGTGGGAATTGCGAAGTATTATAGTAATAATAGTAAAGAGCTATATGGTACTAGCAATACTACAGGTAATACAAGCAAAATCCCTCCCTAGAAAGGTATTCCCCCCCAGTTCGGTGACGTTGATCTAAGCCAGGGGTCGGCAACCTTTTGTGGCTCGCGGGCCAAAATTATGGGTTGCAAAACATTGGCGGGCGCATATATTTTTAGAAAGTTGAAAACCGAACAGATGATAATAAAAATCAAGCAGTGATACACCTCTCGAATAGAATATAGATTTATTTCCTTATTGCATTGCATCTCAAAAAACTCTATTTGAATATTTTCGGCGCCATTGAACCCTTTGCACTTAGCATTGCCTTTTCTGCGTTTTGTTGCTATTTGTCTAATTATATTTAAATTATAAGCCCATTAAACGAATATTTGTGAATTTTATACTTGTTAGATTATACTATAATTTAGTTTACACGTGTTTCACAATAAGTTCTGTTACGTAAGGAATATAATCGTCAAAACAGTTGTTTTGTTACTATAATTTAGTAGAGCGTCGCGGGCCATGGGTTGCAGACCCCTGATCTAAGCCATTCTGCACTCTGCGATGAATGCTGATGTTCCGCCCTGTAAACCCGGTTACAAGTGTACTCTTGAATTGTTAGTTCAGAAAAGAATTCTTACACATTTGAAGTCTTTGTTGTTCTTTTTCAAGATGATGTGATCTCAAATGCATATTCAATGTTTTTTGATCAACCATAAAATCATCAGGAGACACTAAAACACAATTTAAAATGGTGATCATAAAATTGAATATTGCAACATATCTACCCTTCTAGGTGCTGGAATATATATCAACCTCTTACTAATTTTGGTGTCTTGTCTTGTCTACCAGACCATTTTAACATTTCATCATATATAAGCTATTTAGTTAATGGATGGACTATATTCTGTAAACGCTACTACTGACTTTTGATGCTCCAATCTTAAAGTGAAAAATTTCTGTACACAAATACACAGTAATTTCGGTTCAGGAATAAATACAACGATTTTAGTTTATCATATGATCAACAAATTCAGCAACAAAATTTAGTATATCAGAAAACAACTTTAGCAGTATCGTTCATAGTCGTGTTGAAAGTTCACATGTTAATCGTTCAGTACTTACATGGTGAATTCCTATATGGTGATCTTCTGTGACGCAAAAAAGGACTCCCACCTCCAGACGAGTCATGGTAACTGCTTCCGTCCAGATTCATACCTAAATTGGTAATTGGGCTACCCTGAAAATAAATTGATTCAGCTTATCGATAGTATTTTACAGTTTCAACTAGAAATGTTAATTCAAATAGTTTGATATTTCACAATTAATCAGAATATCATTTATTTGACCTCTATTTATTTCAAATTCATGTTTGAAGTATGTAATGAAGGATAATCTGTACCACCGTACTGCTGAGGTACTCACACAGATTGTTCACACAATGACAAGCGAATAATACAATGTAATAAGCAAAAATTTGCATAAAAATGTGGTAAATGAATGAGTAATAGATAAAAAAAAATGGGAATATAAGATTTTCCAACAATTTAGTCTTTCATTATGAAAAAATGAGACTAATAAGAAATGCATATATATTCAGGGTGGGCAAATTTACTTTAATTTTTGCTCAAAACTGTAAGTCATTCATTCTTCCGAGTCCAACTCTAGGGTGCAGGAAATTTCCACTTTGACTCCAGCCCCCAACTCTGAGGAATCTCAACCACCACGAAAATGTTGCGGTATGCAAGTCTTATTATCTTGTCTGTTGAGAATACTTAATCAACTTGATGCTTTTAGATACCTCCACAAATTTTGATTATCACCATTTAACTTACGAAGAATTTGCAATTTCTACTTTGGACTTTGGAATCCAGGAAGTTTATAAAAAACAACACCAGTCTAAAACTAATTGAAATTTATTTCATGTATACTTTTACCTGAGTATTTGGTGAGAAGCGACGCTGTGCAGCAATATAAGATGCATTTTGACTCTTGTAAAACTTTTGAGCAGCATTCTGAGATATATTTGGACTAGATGTAGGCGAGTTGCTCAATGGTCTTCTGCAAAATTTTGATCAAGTAAAAGTCATTGTCAAGTATATAATATGTCATGATTACAAGCCAGTAAAAGCTATTAAAAAAATAGTATTATCTTAAAACATATATCGGTATGGCGGTATATCATGAGCAAGAAACTATAACACAAAGCCAGAAACCAACAAATTATTATTTTATTAAGGATCACTCGGTTCTTGGGTTCAAACTCTATGCCCATCAGGTTGAATTGTGAAGACCCCAGTCTGAAAAAATAGTATCTTCTTTTGTAACAGTGGCTACTATACCAGAACCTTATGTTGAAACACTTCATACATTAAAAAGTATATCAGATTAGAAATTCAATAGTATTCATTGCACAGAAAATGTGGAAGTGGAATCAAGTTTGAATTTCAGCTAGGTTTCTATGGATTAATCATACAATTTAACTTGCAGTTCGATTTCACATTAATATGGCATAATCTAATGCTATTAGTTTTTGAAATTATGAGTTCAAATTTGCAATTCAAGTATTTTGTATGGTTTTTCGCTCAAAAAAGGATCGATTTGGATGGTGACCGTACATTTGAACCCATGCGTATATCCACGGGTTCAATCTATATTCGGGTGCTAAAACCCATGGGTTAGGGTTAGTATGGGTTTAACTATCCGTGAAACAAAAAAAATTCCATAGGTGCAATAGCTCCAATTCCATTGCCATGGGTTCAAATGTACGTGGGTTCAAATGTAATGGAACCGATTTGGATATGTGATAGTTGGTAGCAAAGGCAACTCTGTGAGAATGGTTCACCATGGTTTACAAATCTCAATAATAGATAACTGATAATAGAAACAAATATATAGTAGCCTAATTAATAAAACATATTACCCCAAAGTAAGAGGCGACAGATGAGGTGAATGAGATATTGGTGATGGACGTTGTTGTTGAGTTGGAGTCGATGAAGTCAGAGCAGAAATATTCAATGGTTGTCGAATAGATCCAACTGACTGTACATCAGGCTGTGTCTTGAAATCTGATGTACCATCTGATAAAAACACAAAAAAACTTACAGTGAGAGATTAACAGGAAGTACAATGAATCAACATAAAAATTCCTAGTTGTAATTTATTCCTACATATGAGCAAGCAACATTGATCATAATGCAGCAATTACCGATACATCAACAAAACATTGAAATAAGAGAAATATATAAAAATAATCATTTGATTTAGTTTGTTGAATCCACATGAAATTGTTGGTAGGATTCGTAGGAAGATAAATCTCTCCTCAGAACATAATGTGAATCCCTAAAAAAACATTTCCGGTTTGCAAGCTTATATGCACGTCTGCAAACACTGATTTCAGTGGTATATAATCAGTCATCACATTGTCTAAACTGTAAAGTGACAATGACATACAAAAATTTATATAAGGATTCAGAGATATAACTTGGTAAAAAAAGTTTTAAAATACAAAGGAATTCTGCAGTAACCAGTACAGCGTAATAGATAAAAAGAGCCGCTAATATGGTAGACCGCATAAAAACTGCTTGAGACGAGAAAGAACAGCAATTAAAACTCAGACCACTACAGCATATTATCTTGTTTAGTTATATGGTTTTATATCAAACATGAGAAGTTTATGAGAAATCAGCTACAAATCGTATTTCCCTAAATCGCAATAAACATCATGTCAACTTCTATTTACAGTAGTTATAAACACATCACCCATCTTAATAACTTTATATGGGCTATTCCAAGTGACACTACAGGACAATTCCAGAAATTTTGCATGTTGTTAACCCTTTCCGTGCGGTGGGCACGTATACGTACCCACGACAAAAGTCGCTAGATTGCGACGGGTACGTTGATGTACTCCACTGTTTTATTTAGCAATCGGTCGCAAACTGTTGGTCTAGTTTTTCCGGGTTTTAGTTTATTGATAAGAAGTCTTCTTCGAGATTAACATAAGCGTCGGTAAATCTCGCTTTCGTTCACGGCGGGAATTTTATTTGCGGCGGAACGAGGGAGTGTTTTTGAAATTTATGCAAATTTCGGTGTTTTTTGGGTGGTAATAGAGACATTTTATCCCTTCCATCTACCAAAGTATTTTGAGTTGGATCAATATTATGCTATTGTTTGCCAACCACGAAGCGGTAACAGTAAAGGATTTAGCGAATATTTCTATTTTTTATCACGGTTTGAAGTTTCAACTCCCAAAAAAAAAAATGCCTTTTTTCTATCCGTTTGTGACTCAGACCACCACTTTTAAAAAAACTTTTTTTTTTAATCGCCAATTGCAAGCTCTTTAAATAAGCTTTCCAACGAGCCGTCAGTGGGCAGCAGAGGATCATTAGTTTTTCGTTAGTCGATCGATTAGTTGTGGGGGTACAAATGCATAAAATCGGCGTAGCAAATACGATTATTTAATAAAAAATAAAAATCGCATGGAAAGGGTTAAATTCAATATATTTTCAGCTACATGTTTTGTTTCATTGTCCAATCAGTTGCTTTATTGAATATGTAAAAAATTGCACAAAAGTTACACCCAAACTTACTTAGTAGATAAAAAAAATAAAGTAAAATATAGCGTGACACTACAGGACGGCAAATCCACCATGCACTAACAGTACGTTGTGTTGTGCTGTAAATTTTTGCGATGGTACAGTAGGAGCCCATAATATTTTCTGGTGCAGTAGCTGAACTACCCCTCTATGTGTTGCTCAAGTTACTTAATGTAACACTGTAAATCCATGCCAATAATGTGCATATTGTATGTGACACTACAGGACGTGACACTACAGGACATTTTTCCACTTCGGAATAGCGGCATCTATCATCTCTTAAAATTCTGGTAATAAATCGTTAAATGGGTGAAGAAATGTTCTACAGCACTGCAAACATTCAAACTTTATTAACTTAAATCCAGTGCGTCAATTCCATATGAAATAACTGTACCACACAATCAAACACTTTGTGTCAGGAATCATCACAAAATATGTCAATTATACCAAAATTTATACATTTCAGGCCATTTTTTTATAAGCCATCAAAAACCTGGGTGAAATTTTAAATTGTTCGATGAAATGAATGCAGTCCAATAAAATTCCAATGTCTTTTGATATCAAAAATAAAAAAAATTACTTTCACTACACTTTTTAAAAAATTGATGGAATTCAAATTTTGCTTGGAATGGCCCATATATAGATTTTGATATCTTTAAAGTGCATTTTAACTTTTAATTTAACTGTGAGTTAATTAACCCTAAATAAGTCATATAAACAAATAACCTTGCATAATTCCAAGAAGTTGCTTTTGTTTCGGAGAAAGAATTGGTTGACGTACAGACACTGATTGTATAGCTTGGAGAAAATTTACAACAGCACTCACTGCAAAACTTGCACAAATTCCAATCAAAAAATAACGAAACACATCGCTCTCTCCAACAAATTGCAGCTGAAGATATTGTGTTTTACTGAAAATGAAAACAAAATCATTTAAAATAGAATTTTCATATCTTGAAGAGCAGAAAGAGAAAAAAAACATTAGGCTCATGTAAACTCGAACCACAATTACCAGCTATTTATTATACTCACACTTCAAAAAGCAGTAAGAAAAAAATGAAGACATCCAACAATCCCCACACACACTGGAAACGTGAAGCTGAAAGAGACTTTTTGTATCGAAGTGTGCTGCTTATAACAGGACTGATCTGCCCTGGTTGCAGCGGCTTCCGTAAAGGTGTGTCAAACGACATCTATAGAAGTTTCAGCACACAGCAATTGAAAAAGAACTGAAGAACAGAATCTAGTTACTTAATAATAGTATTAACCTATTCATAACAGAAGCTGTAGTCCACCAAAAACATTTAAAGTACGCAATAAAAATGATAAAAAAACGGATAACAACTTTTGAATCGATATGAAACTCTGATCAAAAGAAGAACAAGGCAATATCTTGTACAAACTAGGGTGCCTGGGTGTGTACCAACTACCAATCCAATATGGAGGTAACTAATTTTGTTCGCCTACTTTACATCCAGTTGTGTGACAGACAACAGGGACACAGACAGTCCCCGAACTCATACTAGAACTAAAAATATGAAAATTATGGCCCAACCCCTAACCTGGAACACACTACAGGAGTACCCAAACTAGAATTCTAATTTTTTTTGTGGCCGCGGTATTCATATGGATTGTTATTTTTAATGGGAATGAATAATGTTACATAAAAATTTAGGTGCATGCTCACTAAACAACGTTGAGTCTTCTATTTTGCGTGGCAAAACCATTTTCGCACTTTTTTTTTCCCGCCTGGCTCCTTCGAAGAGCCTTATAACGTTAGTGACTTGGAGTTACTGAGTTAGGAATAACATACCGTATGCAAAAATGGTTGTGCCACGCCTTCATTATGCGCAAATGATTGCTCGAGATTTATTCCCGGGTCGGTTCATTTAAAATTTGAGACCATGAATTGTTTTGAGTCAATTTTTCACATATGCCACAATTTCAAAGTGAGGGACAAACACGCCTAAATTTTAATTTCATTATTATGTTTATGTGTATTTGGTGTTGTGTTGTCTCTATATATCACCTTCTCTTATAAACTCCCCTGTATAAACAGTTTTGTATACTCCTCTCTTACCACTTTCACCACACCAACCACCCACCCACCCATCGCCCCACCTTACACTGTCTATATATAGATATAAGGGACCATATTATACATAGCCTATTTAATCTAATGTTTTTTTTAATATTTGTCAAAAGGGGTGCATGCAGCACATTTTTGTTTTAGGCCAGTAGGTCTTGTGCATGCATCCCGTCTCAAATAATAATAATTGTTCATTTATTTTATTTTTTAAATGAAAAATAACAGATAAAATAATATCAGAAAGAATTACCAACAGTACATTATTAATATGGTATACATTTTATTCATAGTTGTTCCAACGAAGAATTCATTTATCTATGTATCACTAATACGAGACGAATAAACATACATACAATCACTAAATACTAATATGTCCCGATATCCAGATATCTGATTAAGTCTCGCGTTATACGCACTCTTTGATAATAAACGATATCGGTGGGTACAAAAAATTGGAAAAACTTATGCATCAGCATCAAGTTAGTATTATTAGGCGCGATGGAAATTGAACTTCCAAAAAATTGGAATGGAAAATTGGAAAATGGAAAAAAATTGCAGTATCATCAGAGCCATTATGATGCCATTATATAATGGCTCTGGTATCATAGTTAACTTAATCAATGAGCATATTATATACAATGAGTGGAAACTTGCAAAGATTTGCTCATTGTGGCATTGTTCCCTGCATTTTTTACGTCGTCCAGCTAAATGGTTCGTTGCATATTAAGAAAACGCATTGCTCGCTGCCAAAATCCCTTGCTTCAGTCGAGTCGGGTGCGAAATTGGCCGTATTGAGGTCTTTAATTCTTCAATACATATTTGGTTTTGGGTTTCGAAGTATCGCTGAAAGCATACAACTATGAGCATAAGCTTATTGGGAATGCATATCTATTAGACAGAAAACGTATCTACAGAACAGAATATGAACCAGTCGCCGAGAGGAGTGCGGTTATTTATGTATTTATTAATTGATATAACATGGGATTTACATATTTATCCAGGGGGAGAAGAAAGCCGAAAATGGGGCCTAAATATATGGCGAACCACGGCCTCTCTCAATCATAGCTCTGTGCTCCATATGAATCACATGGCTCTGCGAGCTATTCGTTTACTTATTAAAAATACTGATTTTAACTATAAATTACTCTGGGATATCTTGCCATTGAAAACAAAAGCCAGAAATTAGAAGAATAACAGGGAATGATATGTGTGTATTATTTAATGGAGAACCTGAGTTTGTTTCACATATTTTCATGTATTGTAAATTTACAAAAAATATTTATGAAGATTTTGTTTTAGATATATTAAAATTGATTAGAATACATTTTGTTATCAATATGATTCTTGCATATTATTTAATTTTAACGATCCTTTATATAGTCATATAGATACTGTTGATTTGGATGCAATTATACTTTTGTAATCAATAGTGAGATATAAAATTTTGACCATGAGAAATTATAAAACACCACATTTTACCTTTCTCAAAAAGCAGATAAAAAGGGCCATAATATGTAGAAAAATATAGAGAATTATAGAATAAACAACCCATTTGAAACGGAATTGAAAAATTTATGTAAAGCATTATTTTAAAAAGAAAATTATATGTTTATGATATGTATTTTATATTTACTAATTTTATTTTTATTGTTTTATATCAATGCATTTATTAAAATAACCTAATTATGGTATGGATTACTACTGGAATTGAACAAAATAAATACTAGATCATGGATGCAAAATGGAATATGAACTTATTTATATTATATATATTATTTTATATTTACCGTAATTAAAATCACTCATTGAGTGAACGAATGAGCATACTGTAATGCTTATTGGGACCATCTATCAGGCAGAAAACTTATCTACAGAACAGAATATGAACCAGCCAAGTGGGGACCTGGGATATTGTATTCATTGATATAGATAGAGATAGCTTATTTTGAAAAATCCACAATCTGACAATACAAACAAATAAAAATGGAGAGTTCTGGAGAGCGAGCAAAACCTTCAAAAAAGTTCAAAACACGATGAGTATCATGTGCCTGCTGTGTTATAGCAAGTAGTAATGTGTAATGAATTAAATTCACTGTAGTAAATGAATTTCTATCTTTTTATTTGTTATGAGCACACTTGCTGGAACTCCATAATCTATTATTTTATAATTTGGTGTGTTTAAATTATAGTGTATAAAGAAATCTACTCATGATTTCATTACTATTATCAAATGTTTATAATTAAAGTGCTATAATAATAGAATTTTCCCCATCTTTGCTTATCAAAAATCCATGTCCTATTACATTCATTTTTAGTAGACAAATTTTCCAAATAATAGGTATCCTCGCTAACCCATTTTTATGCAGTTGATATGCAATACATGTCAACTTATCAGCTGAATAAATGATGATCTTAGGACAAAATATGATTATTTAGTACTTTCCAAATCAAAAATTCTTGTGAATAATGTATATAGTGAATAAGGTATATGAGAGGTATTGAAGAATTTAACACCGAACCTGTTAAATGACCCGAAATGTTGTAACGTTGTCTCCCAGTCAAACACCTGAGCATCTGTTTTTTTTATTATAATTTATATATGTTCATGGTTTGACGAACGAAATAAACTCTCTCTCTCTATTAGTTTAAAATACTGACTTCTGGACTTGGCTAATTTTATGCATATCAAAACTTGTAAATATTTGCATATCAAAACTTGTCATTTATTTTGTTCCATCCATGTATTTTCCACATGTTTTTCCAATAAAACATACTTACGCCTTACTACTGTTATTCGTAGCTTATTATTGTTAGCTAATTATTTTTGAGGTGGGGCGCAAGACTTCACAAATTCTAAAAAGGGGGTGCGGCTTGAAAAGTTTGGGAATGTTTGTATGTAGTAGACCCTAACCCGGTACACATGGTTCCGGTGTCTACCAACTGGGTTTACATACTTCCAGAGTACCTTTTTGTATTACAGTTGTGAAACAGAAAAAGCTGAATGTCGGTCTTATTCCATATGTAAAGTTACCAAAAACTCCACAAAGAATGAACAATGTGTATTATCGATGAAATGGAAAGTGACATATAAAAAATACAGAAGCTGTAGAAAATATTTTGCATTACAGAAAAATTAGTTCACATATTAAATATTTTACATTACAAAAAAAATGGTGCTCCAGAAGTATGTGTACCAATATTAAGGTAACTAATTTTGTTCGCCTACTTTATATCAAGTTGTGTAAATGGACTAAATTCTATCGGTAGGGGGACATTCACTTGAGTAACACAGACAATTCCCGAACTTTTAATAGAACAAAAATAAGGAGAATCGTAACCTAACCTGGTACACATACTACGAGTACCGAAAAAACAGCCCACATAGCACATAGTAAAAGCAGTTATGGAAATACTTTACATTACAGAAAAATTAATTCACATAGTAAATAGCAGACGAAGGAAATATTTTGCATTGCAGAAAAAATAGCTCACATAGTTAATAGCAGTCATGAAATATTTCTCACTATTGATTACAAAAGTATAATTGCATCCAAATCAACAGTTTCTATACGACTATATACAGGATCGTTAAAATTAAATAATATGCAAGAATCATATTGATAACAAAATGTATTCTAATCAATTTTAATATATCTAAAACAAAATCTTCATGAATATTTTTTGTAAATTTACAATACATGAAAATATGTGAAACAAACTCAGGTTCTCCATTACATAATACACACATTTCATTCCCTGCTTTTCTTCCAATTTCTGGCTTTTGTTTTCAATGGCAAGATATCCCAGAGTAATTTATAGTTAAAATCAGTATTTTTAATAAGTAAACGAATATCTTGCAGAGCCATGTGATTCATATGGAGCACAGAGCTATGATTGAGAGAGGCCGTGGTTCGCCATATATTTAGGCCTTCTTTTCGGCTTTCCTCTCCCCTTGGAGAAATATGTGAATCCCATGTTATACGGTATCAATTAATAAATACATAAATAACCGCACTCCTCTCGGCGACTGGTCCATATTCTGTTCTGTAGATACGTTTTCTGTCTAATAGATATGCATTCCCAATAAGCATATGCTCATAGTTGTATGCTTTCAGCGACCATACTTCGAAACTCAAAATCAAATATGTATTGAAGAATTAAAGACCTCAAGTCAAGTTAATACGGCCAATTTCGCACCCGACTCGGCT